GACCGGTTGCTTTACGGCTCTTTTGTCTTTCCGACTTGATTTACGGCTCCTCCACCTTCAGTCTTCTTCGCCAAACTCTACAAGGGCCCCTCTAGAGTTTGAACCTTCTTCCCAGGGTCCCTTGCAACTCTTTCCCAGTCTCCTTTGCCAGCTTGTCCAACCTTCTTTCCATTTGCTTATAGTCTAGACCAAGTTCCCCGGGTGCACCGCGCGCTGCACGGGGCGCGTAAGTGGGGAAGTGAGGAAGGGGTGGAGGGGTGGAGGGGTGGAGGGGTGGGGGCTGCTCTCCCCCGGGTGGTTCCGCCCGGGGATTGTAGAGCGTAGGACCGCTCAGATTCGGATTGGAGCTCTTGGGGAGGCTGTTGAATTTGTCCTGAGTTTCCTACTAGAGATGCTGAATGGCTAGGCCTGTCTAATTGGTTAGTGCCGTCCGGAAGGGCTCGGGGATCTGGGCTTCTCGACAGTTTGGTTAGGAGGACCGTGACTCACGAATCACGTGCGCCAGGACCCAGGGTGGAAGGCTGCACACGGATCTTGTGGAGTTCCCTGCGCAGCTCGAGACATTGTAAATGCGGTTTGTTGACAGGAGTGTCAGTATCCGAATGGAGTTAGAAGAAGTAGGTGGAAGTTGGGAAGGAATAGTGGATTTAAAGGGAATTTTTGACATTTAGTTTAGCAATGTATTCAGCCTTTCTAGATCTTAAAAAAAAATTGAGGCACGATTCATTACATATGCGCTTAAAGTGTACAATTCTGTAGTTTTTAGTATATGCTCAAGGTAGTGCAACCATCACCGAATTCTTATTACAGAACATTCTCATCACTCAAAAAGAACCTAGAAGCTAGTTAGCAGAGACGTACCTGAGATTACAGGCATGCATCACTGTGTCTGACTTGATTTCGCATCACCCTTCTACAGTTCTTGTCTATGAAATTACCAGCCATGTATACACATATACACATATATGTATGTGTGTATATATATATATATATGTGTGTGTGTATATATATATGGAATCATACAAGATTTGTCTTTTCCTGTATGGTTTATTTCATGTAGCATATTTTCAATACTTTTTGTATTTTGCATGTATCAGGACTTCATTCTTTTTTTATGAACTAATAATCAGTTGTATGGATATACCACATTTTGTTTCTCCCTTAGCTGATGGACATTGGTGGTTTCATAGACTTTTAAGGTCTTTAATTCCCCCACAGAACTAGCATTCGCAGGCACAAACATTTTAAGCTTAAGTTCTCAAAAACCATCGTTTGACTCTGGTTTTGGGTCAGGCATTTCAGTGGCCACAGGTTTGTGTCTTTTAGAGCAGTTTGTTTTTTTTAAAAGCCTTATATTCCCAGTTCATCACCTATCAGACTATTAATAATATTGATAACAAGTGGAGATGTATTTGTGGCATGTCTTATGAAGGTGGCAGAAACTGTCAGAAACTGCTGTTGTGTAATGTATGCTGAAACCTGTTATCCCAGGTATGTTATCCCATGGCTAATTTCTGACTACACCCAGTATTATACATGCAATGTAAGCTTCATGGCACTTTCACATCCAATATAAACTGGTGTAGTTAAGAGATGAGCATATGAAAAGCCTAATTCACCTAGCAATGGGAGAGATTTTACTAAAAATAACTAGTCAGTCTTCATCACTCATGGATTCTGTATTTGTGAATTTATCTACTTCTTTACATTTATTTGTAATCCTCAATCAGTAGTACTCTTGATGCTTTCCTAAAGTGTGCAGAGTTGTTAAAAATCTGAGTTGACTAATGCACATATTCTCAGCTGAGGTCAAACAAGATGAAGCTTTCCTAAGTGTCCTTTGGTGGTATACTTAGTAACCTGTTTGTTGGATTTTTGTGCCCCCACTTTTTTTTTTTTTTTTGGTAAGGTGAATTGAACCCAGTGGTATTTTATCACTGGGCTACATCCCTAGCCCCACTTTTTTTTTTTTTTTTTTTTTTTTAATTGCTGAAGCTGGCCTGGATCTTGTGATCTGCCTACCTCAGCCTCCCATGTACCTGAGATTATAGGCATAGGCGTACATCACTGTGTCTGGCTTGGTTTCACTTTTTTTTTTTTTTTTTGCACCAGGGATTGAACCCAGGGGCACTTTACACTGAGCCACATTCCCAGCCCTTTTTTTGTATTTTATTTAGAGACAGGTCCTTGCTAAGTTGCTGAGGCTGGCTTTGAACTCACGATCCTCCTGCCTCAGCCTCCTGAGTTGCTAGGATTACAGATGTGTGCCACCGAGCCCAGCTTGGTTTCACATTTTTAAAATGGTTTCCAAGCATAGTGCTGGAGTGCTGTCTAGCATTCTTAAGTGCAAGAAGGCCGTGATGTGCTTTACAGGGAAAAGATAAGTTTCTTTCAGACAAATTTATCAGGCATGGGTTGTATTGGTATTGACTGTGAGTTCAGTATTAATGATATATATTAAATAAGGTGTCTTTAAACAGAAACACCTAAAGCAGTTATTTATTGACATGTTGAACAACTCTATTTTTCCTTGGAGAATTGGTTTAGTATTTACTAATTTAGTGTTCATGGTGGCTGTTTAGAACATAAGTACTGTGAATAATGAGAATTGACAGAATAACCAGTTTAATTATTGATGAGCAGAAAATCTAGTGTTGGTATTTTTAAGTTTCTATAACTTTAACTGTTTTTTCTATTCAAGGCATTCATTTTTAATTCTGTTTAAGTAGTGTTGGAGAGAAGCTAAAATAGAATGCTTTTCCTTCTGTGTGTGGGGTGTGGTGATTGTGCTAATTGTTGGGGATTCAGTGATTAGTGTATGACCCCTCTGTTCTTAAATGGGTGAGTGTGCTAGTACAGCAAAGATGTAATTATAGTGTGGTATATGCTTTGAAATACATCTAAAATGCTATGGAAACATAGTATTAATTCTCTTTAGAGTGTGCTGAGATGCATAAGCCTTCAAGCAAGAAATGACCTTTGAGGACCTTTGAGATTTCTTTCTTTTAACTTAAAAAAATTTCTGTTCTGTTGCAGTATGAGCATACATTACAATGTTACAACAGTATGAACATACATTAAAATATAAGAAAGAAACTCAATGTCCCATTCTTCTCATCAAGGTGCTCTTGGTCTTCACAATCAGAATCCCATTAATCTCTGAGTCTCAACAATTCTACCTCCTTTAATACAGAACTAGAGTCTATCTTTTACGTTTCACGTACAAATGTTGTAATTAAGCCTTTCTCATTCCCTCTCTGGGTTGTTATAACGTAGACTCCTAACTGATCTCTCCCTTGGCTATTCATTGTTGGTTATTCACTGTTAACAAAGGGCTTTCTAAGTTTTAAGTATAATCTTGTTATTCTTACCTTAAAATTTTCCATTACTCTCTCATGGCTGACAAAATAAAGTTTTTTTTTATGGTGGCTCCTATTACCCTTCAAGATCAGGCCTTTCTTTGTCTTTAATAAAGATGAGAAGAGGTAATATAAAAGAGGAAAATTTCTTTTGGTAGCATGCCTTGTTCCCTTTTACTTCTTCCTTCCTCTTTCCATAATTAATTAGAAATGCTTTTAAGTTATAAGGAAATGGGCAAGAATAAAAGCACATTTTTTTCCCAGTCTTGTTTACTTTTTTTTTTCTTTTGGTGCTGGGGAATAGAATCCAGGGCCCTGTGCATACTAGTTGTTTACCTTTTTAATATCTTGAATTCATTCGTTTCTTGATCACAGCCACTTTCTTGTCCAGGCTCTTTTCCTCCTATGACAAGTTTTTTTTTTTTTTGGGGGGGGGCATTTTTATTTCTTTTGGGAAAATATCTATTAAAATTCTTGGGTCATATGGCAGATGTAAGTATAAGAAAGTATCTCGATGATCTGAGGCTTGGTGGTATGAAAAGGTATCTTAGGGCTTAAAGTAGTAATCACTAAAAAAACCAAACCAACCAACCCTGATTATGTCAAAATTTAAAACTTTTCATCACAGACAACTCTAAGAAAATGAATAGGTAAACAGACACCAATCTGAGAAAGGACTTATACCTGAGATATATTAAGAACCAGTGGGATTCAAGGCCTGTGAAGAATCTGCTGCTTGACCCTCTGGGACTGTGGCTGGTTTTTTGGAGTCCTCCTTTTTCATGAAGGATAGTATGTGTTAGCAGGTAGAATGGTTTTATTAGCCTATTTGCTGTCAGCAGTGTATGAAAGTTCCAGTTGCTTCACATCCCTTGCTAACTTTTCGTGTTGTAATTCTTTTTCTATTTTTAGTCATTCTGATGAATGTAGAGTGGGATGTCATTAAATGGTTTTAATTTTAGTCCTTGATTATTAATGATGTCCAGCACTTTTTTCCTGTTACTGACATTGCTTCCTTTGTTATTGACATATCTTCCTTTGTGAAGTGCCTACTTAAATCTTTTTAAAAAATATTATTATTATTATTATTGTAGTTGGACACAGTACACTTATTTTATTTATTTATTTTTATGTGATGCTGAGGATGAAACCCAGGGCCTTGCATGTGTGAGGCAAGCACTCTACTGCTGAGACACAATCCCAGCCCCTAAATCTTTTGCTCACTTTGAAATTGGTTGTCTTTTTTTTTTTAACTGTGTCATTAGAATTCTTTATATGTCTTTCTTATCCTGATATCAGTCCTTTGTTAGTAGTTATCTACCCATTTTCTTAGATAAACAGAAGTTTTACATTTTGATGTAGTCAATTTATTATTTTCTTTTTTCTTCTGGGTGCTAGGGATGAACCCAGGGCCTCATGCATGCTATGCACAAACTCTGCTACCAAGCTATCCTGCAACCTGCTTTTCTTTTATAGTTACTGCTTTTTGTTTTCTAAGAAATCTTGACCACTTTCAGTTTGTGAATATATTCTTTTAAAATTATAGTTTTAGCTTTTATGTTTAGATATATGAGCCATCAGTAGGTTTTGTGAATATTATGGGGTATGACAACGTTAAAATTTTTCTTTACAGATGTTTAGTTATTCTAGCAGCACTTATCAAAAATGCTGTTATACTGCATTTTTGAAATTAAGATGACTGTTTAAATAGTGCTTAATTTCTGGGCTCTCTTTTATCCTATTGGTTAATCCTTATGTCAGTACCATATGAAATTTATACCGCACTGCTCTGTTGACATGTCATCCATGTCCTTCCCCCCCCCCCCGCCCAGTCCTGGGAATTGAACTTAAGCCCTCTACCACTGAGCTACATCTTCAGCATGTCTAATTATTTCCTGATTGAGTGATTGAGTGATTAGATTGGTAGAGCTATGAATTAGATTGATGTCTAAGTGATGTGACCTTTCAGAGAATCCACCCGGAAGCACATGATATGACTATTATTAGTTACATTAAGTTTGAATACTTAATTGAGGTGATATCTGCCAGATTTCTCCATTGTAAAAAAGAGTCTTTTACCCCCCTCCTTCTTTACCTGCAAGAACAGTAGTTTTTTTGAAGATGACACCAGCACACTCTTTTATTTATTTATTTATTTAAGTTTTCGGCGGACACAACATCTTTGTTTGTATGTGGTGCTGAGGATCGAACCCGGGCCGCACGCATGCCAGGCGAGCACGCTACCGCTTGAGCCACATCCCCAGCCCAACACCAGCACACTGTTGATAGAGGAAAGGGGACATAAGATAGGAACAGAAAGACAGTCAGCAAAAGATAAGGTATCAATCCAGTTCTAACCACACCCAATTCCACTGGGGAACTTTGGAGCTAACATAGGGGTCCCGGCTCAATGTCATCCTACAGAAAGGATAATAAACTTAGGGTATTTGAACACCAGCACCTGTCAGTCATAGTTTGAGGGTTGCTGACAAGGGGAATCAACTTTCAGGCACTTCTAAGTTGCCATGAACATGGGGGAAATATAGGCTGTGGATGCCAAGGAAAACTCTCAGTTAAAGAGATGCAGATGTTGGCATTTAGAAGTCAGGCCAGAGTGGTAAGAGCTGAAGGGACAGTTTGAGTGTCTATAGTGTCTGCTGTGATAACCTAGAACCTCGAGCTTGAGGCAAAAATTTATGTGCTCTTATTTTGTCAGGAAGCAGAGGTGGCGGGAAAGGAGAGTGAAGAGAGAAGCAAGTTTAAGTCAACTCAAGGGTGCATTTCCAAGTTGGCCACCCCTTGGTAACAAGTACAACTGATTGCTTGACCTCCTAAAGCTGTCTCCCAGGAGGATGTATAAAGTACTGCATCCAGGACAATACACCAAGAGAATTTACCCCTCAGCTTCTGTATGTCATTGGAGAAAGATTTGTCTCATGCTACATTAACTCCCTGGAGCATCCAAATTGTGTGTAGGTGGGTATCAGGTGGGATCTCATAGGCTCCCTCAAAGGCAAGAGGGAAGCCAAAGGTGGGAAGTGAGAGGCATCCAGCACGAAGGAAGTAAAAGATTGCAGGATTGTGCCTGTGTACTGGAGGTTAGACCTACATATATTTTGTTAGTCCATGACACCTGGGGTGAAGAACATGACAATAGCCTCAAAATTGGCAAGGCCAAAGAAGATTTGAGATGTTACATAAAAAATGTCTGATGTATTTAGATTCCATTTGTATTTAACAAATATGTACCCACATACAATACCCAGTCACATGTAAAAGAAAATAACAGCTATCCCATGGTGGTGGGATCCCTTGGAATTTGACTTTCTCCCATAGTTATCGATAAGTTTTTAAACCTTTTTACAGTAAAGATATTTTAATTTTATAATGAGAATGGTTATGGACAATTGTAGGAAGGAAGGCAAAACAAAATTTTTTTCGAAGTAAAAGAAGTTAGCAAAAAAAGAAAAGATACCATGTTTACTTTATGGTAGGGATAAGATTGTATTTTTCTTCAAGAAAAGGATGAATCTTTTAAGATTGTTTAGAAAAGTAGAAACAACTGTCTTTTCAAATGTGAGAAATGTAACTCTTAAAATAAAATTTTAAAATGTACTTTTTATATCCTGCATTGTGCATTTTTTCATTGATTTAGGCATTTGTTCATTTACTTAGACAACAGCTGTTACCAAGCACTTCTTTTTTTTTTTTTTAATATTTTTTTATTTTAGTTCTCGGCGGACACAACATCTTTGTTTTGTATGTGGTGCTGAGGATCGAACCCGGGCCGCACGCATGCCAGGCGAGCGCGCTACCGCTTGAGCCACATCCCTAGCCCCACCAAGCACTTCTTGACTCCCTGCTTTGAGCCAGGATCTCTGCTAGTCACTGGTAAAGAAGAATAAGATTCCCTGTCTTCTTGGGATTCATCTTGAAGTGAGGGGCAATGGATTGTGAGATAATACTCATCAAATATTCAAATGCGTTCTTACATTTCCCAGCCTCCATTGCAGTTAAGTTGGGGCTTTGTATGTGACAGGTTTTCTTCAGTGTACTGTGACCAGAAGAGATCCATGCCACTTTTGGACTTTGGCAGCTGTGATCTGTTGTGACTCCTCCAACTCTCTCTACCCCTTCAGTGATAACCTTGGAGGCCACATATGCTAGATGACACAGCTATAAGATGGGCAAGGCTACTATGCTGCATCAGACCTGGCCTGACTGAGATAAATTTTATACTTTTATTGTGGTAAAATATGCATAACATAAAATTTTCCATTTTAAACATTTTTAAGTACACAATTCAGTGGCATTAAGTACATACACAAAGTGGGTATCTTTGTTTGTAACAGATAACAGTTCATTTGAAACTTTGTGCTTATCCTCTTGTCCAACAACTATTTAGTATCCATAGAAAATTACTCTTGTAAGCTATTATCATATCATTTTAGTGTAGTCAACTTAGGAGGGTCTTATTAATATTTCCTTTTACAAATGAAATTGGGGCAGATAGAGGTTAAATTATTCCCCAATTTACATAGTTTACCTGATGGAGCTGGCTGTTTAACATATCTGACTCTACACTTTGAAGCATGCTTTATACCAGTGGTTGGCATCTCATCGCCTGTGGGCAAATCTGCCTTTTGTTTTTTTAAATAAAATTTTAATAGGATACAACCATGCCCATTCATTTATGTATCGTCTTTGGCTGCTTTCACACTTTTTAAAAAAAATATATTTAAATATAGCATTATGACATGATTCTTTTTTCTTTTTTTCTTTTTTTTTTTTTTTAAAGAGAGAGAGAGAAAGAGAGACACAACATCTTTGTTTGTATGTGGTGCTGAGGATCGAACTTGGGCCGCACGCATGCCAGGCAAGTGCGCTACCGCTTGAGCCACATCCCCAGCCCTGGCTGCCAGAGTTGAGTACCTGTGACAGACTATATTGCCAGAAAATCTAAAATATTTACTGTGAGGTCCACTATAGAAAAAGTTTTGTTGACTTCTGCTTTATAGAATAGATATTTAAAATTTTTTGGGGGAGGAGTACTGGGGATTGAACTCAGGGACTCCACCCCTGAGCCATATCCCCAGCCCCATTTTTTGTATTTTACATAGAAATGGGGTCTCACTGAGTTGCTTAGTACCTCACTTTTGCTGAAGCTGGCTTTGAACTCGAGATCCTCCTGCCTCAGCCTCTTGAGCTGCTGGGATTACAGGCATGCACCACTGTGCCTGGCTATTTTAAGTTATTTTATTTTTTATTTTAAGTTTTTATTAAAATAATACATGCACATATGTGAACACTGAAATACTACCAAAAGTTTTATTTTGTAGAAACCCCTTCTATACTGTTCCCCACCCCAGTCCCATGCCTCTGAGACAACGTGGCATTTATTATATTGACATTCTAAACAATATTCTTATTCCCTCTTTCTTTTAAAGTATTTAAAAATTTAATTTACCCATAACTAGAAATTTATGAGATAGTGTGATATTTGATGCATGTATACAATGTGTAATGACCATATAATAGTAGTTAGTGTACCCATTACCCCAGACCTCCACTCCTTGTTTTAAAAGTTGTAGAAACTAATTATTGACTAACCTAGTTAATTATCTTAATTTTTAGGCCAGTATCTTAGTTTTTAGTAAGTTATAAATTATCATTTTAGCTGAAATATTTTATGATTATTTAAATAATTGTGTGCATTTTCATTATAAAGTATGCAAGGAAAATCAACATGAAATTATTTAGTAGCTAACATTTATTTAGTACTTACTATGTGCCAGGCACTATTCTAATGTACTTTCATGCAGTATTACATTTATTCTTTACAATAGCTATAGGACATGTAGGTACTACTATCATCTCCATTTTAAAGATGAAGAAATATCATTTAGAGATTGTGTGTCTTTCCTTTGGTCAAGTGCCTACTGGTGTGATGGAGCCAGGTTTCCACACTAGAACTTGAACTCTTAAACATTAATATAAAGCCAGATGGATTAGTGTACTATCAACAATCATAGATTAGTAGTTCTATTAGCAAATAATCTGAAGATTTAAAATATGTAAATTTTGGGGGGCTAGGATTGTGGCTCAGTGGTAAAGCACTTGCCTAGCCTGTGTGAGGCACTGGGTTCAATTCTCAGCACCGTATAAAAATAAATGAATAAAATAAAGGTTCATCAACATCTTTAAATAAAAAAATATTTAAAAAATATGTAAATTTGCTGAGGCTCAACTTTGAAACAATTTCATTTGAAACAGGTGTAGGGCCATTAGGTAGTGGGTCAGTCAGTGTGGATGGTTTTTTTGAGGGTAATTCTATTTTCTAGTGGACTTTATTAAATTTGCCTAATCTCAGTCTAGTGCATTGGCTTTTAAACTTAAACCTGCAGCAGAATCACCTGAAATTCTTCTTGAAGCCCAGGTTACCATTTTCAGTAATTCCTGAAGCATAGCGTTTCTTAGCATGTCTGGGATGGGGCCTGAGAATTTTCATTTTCCCAAGTGTTGCTAAGTACTGCTGGTCCAGGGTTTAAACTGGCTTGTTGCTATTTCTGTTCTTTCTGAATGTTAGGGATCTTATATATTGCCTCCCCTTGATCTTTTTTCCTTTCTTTTTCTTTATGAGGTGGGGTCTCATTGTGTTGCCCAGGCTGGTCTTGAACTTCTTGGCTCAAGCAGTCCCGCCTCAGCCTCCTGACTGGCTGGGACTATAGGCTTGTACCTATTCCCTGGCTCTGTTTTTTCCTTTTAATTAGTCTTCTTCCTCCAGCTAGTGTGTAAACTGGAAAACAACAGTTCAGTCATGTGGCTCATATTTTTTTTTCCACCCACCAGAGATCAGGGTCATGTTGCCTAGGCAGTAGGTAATTCTTTTGTTGTTGTTTTTTTTAATAACATTAAAGAGTCATCCCCCTGCTTTATTGAAGTATGACTGACAAATAAAAAGATAAGGTATACAAGATGATTTTTTTCTTTTTTTTGAGATGGAGTCCCTTTGTGTTGTCCTGGGCTCAAGTGATCCCTTAACCTCCTAAGGAGCTGGAACTGCAGGTGTACACCACACAGTCAGCTACAATGTGAAGATTTGATATACATTGTGAAGTGATTACAAGTAATCAAGGTGTTTACCACATCCATCACCTAACATTACCCTTTTAGGCAGTAGTAAGGTGATTTTTTGCGTTCCCTTAGAAAGTGTTTGTGTAAATTTGATTTTTTCTTTTTTTTTTGGTTTGGTACCAAGTATTAAGCCCCGGGGCACTTAACCACTGAACCACATCCCCAACCCTTTTTATGTTTTATTTTGAGATAAGGTCTCACTAAATTGCTTAGGGTCTTGTTAAATTGCTGAGGCTGGCTTTGAACTTGTGATCCTTCTGCCTCAGCCTTCACTGTGCGCCACTACACCTGCTGATTTTTTCATTTGTAAATGTAATATATTCCTGTTGTAAAGAACACTTTTAATAGCATCACTAGAAGAGAAAAATGTTAACAAAAAGGTAGAAGCAGACTCTAAAGGATTTTCAGGGGCTTGGCAGAACACAGCTAACCACTGAGGAATCTTGTCTTTTATTGGAGCAGTTTTAGAAGCACATAAATAAAGCAACTCAGAGATATCACACATGGGGTTTTTATTTGATTTTTAGTAGAGTTTCTTGCCTTTTATCTTTAGCATTCTTTGAAATCCACTTTTTTTTTTTAAATCTTTTATTTATATAGAAGCTAACCAGAATCAACATGTCTGCGACCGAGGAAACAAATCATGGAGGGCATGACAGCCATCTTCCTGCTGGTGGCAACTCTGTATTGTGCTTTGGACAGGTAACAGTGTTTTTTTTCATCTGTGGAAAGACTGAGGTTAAGTTAGAAAAGTTATAGTGAAATGATATGCATGCATAAGCTCTTACTGTAATTGGCACCCCCCCCCCCCCAACCTTTTTTGTCCTGGGAATTGAATCCAGGGCCTTGCCTATGCTAGGCAAGTGTTCTATCACTGAGCAACATACCTGGTTTCTCCTTTAGAAGGCCTACTTAGGGGTCTTTGCTGAATTGTGAGTACATTTTGGCATTTTCCCATTGAAAGATAAAAGACATACTTTAGATGTATATTTATTCATTCATGTGATAAAGAGATTTTGTCATATTAATATGACATAAAATTTAAAATGAAGCAAAGATTGTATGTGGAAGGTCTCTCAACTTCCCCATTACTCCTGTCTGTATGTCACTGAGTTGGCTTTCTGGGAGACATCCAAAATTATTGGAGTCACGTCTTATTCTATGCATGGAAAAGAGAATCTTTCTTTGTCCACCCAAATTATGTTTTTACTAGAGTTTATTGGTAAATATTTATTTTATTTAAATAGGGCAAAGGGGCTGGGATGTGGCTCAGTGATAGAGTGCTTGCCTTGCATTCAACAAAGCCCTTGGTGATCCCCAGCACCACACACACACACACACACACACACACACACACACACAGAAAGAAAGATAAGGGAAAAAGCCCAAACTACAAGTGGAGAGTGCAAATGGAGGTAAGATTTCCTATTCTGTTTTCCTTTTCCTTACTTCCTTGCCTGCTTAAACATATATAGACTCTGAGGTGGGAAGTTTCATTTCTTGATTTAGCTGGAGAGGGCTGAGGGTATAGCTCAGTGGTAGAGCACTGGCCTGGCCTGTGTGTAGCCCTGGGTTCCATCCCTAGCACTGCAAACAAACAAAAACTCTAAACCCAAAAACCTAATTTAAGCTTGAAAAAGTTTAATAAGGGTAGCAGTAACTGATAACTCATTAGTTCTCAAAATTTGGTTCTGGGACCCTTGGGGGTTCATAGGACCTTTTCAGAGTCTTATGAGGTCAAAATTAATTTCATAGTAACATTAATGAAACATTATTGGTTGCCTTTTTCACATACCTTCTTTCATGAGTGAACAGTGGAGTTTTTTAGACTGTATAATGTAATGGTATCATTGCTTTGATGGCTAATAAAATGTGTGCCTTTAAAAGTTTCTCAAAGTTAATTCCTGATATTGATAGGTATAACCCACATAAACAAAAACTCTGGGATCCTCAGTACTTTTTAAAAAAATTCAACTAATACATTAAAATTATACATATTTATGTGGTACCATGTGATGTTTTGATTTATGTGTACTTTGTGTGCTCAATACTTTTTAAGAGGAAAGGGTGCTGCAAAAGAGACTCACTGATGTGAAGAATGGTGGAAATGTTAAATCTGGTTTCCCCTTCTGGATTGTAGTGCCAGTACACAGCAGAAGAGTACCAGGCCATCCAGAGTGCTCTGAGGCAGAGGCTGGGCCCGGAATACATAAGTAGCCGCATGGCTGGAGGAGGCCAGAAGGTAGGGGAGGCGTCATGCCTGGACGATCTTACCACCTTTGGGTCCTCATGGATTCAGAAGGTTCTTATTCATATTACTGGATGTTTCCTAGTGCCTTTGGATGGATGGGTTCCAGCCTTCACTGTCATAGGAAGTGGCCCAAGCATTGCCTTGAGACATATAACTGCCATGTTAAGATTTTTATTAAGTCCTTAAAAAATGTTCCCTTTGTCATTTGCCTCTAATTTTATTACTACTGCTACTACTAGTACTATTATTACTATTGCTGCTGCTGCTGCTGCTATTACTAATTCTTCTTTTTCCTCTTCCTCCTCTTTTTGTGGTACTGGGATGAAACCCAGGGCCTCTTGCATACCAAGCAAGCTGCTCTACCACTGAGCTACACCCCCAGCCTCTAATAGTAACTGCCACATATGTTTTTGGTCTTCCATAAAATATGTTAACCTGAGATTTGTACCTTTTTGAAAAATGTGGGTTTTGGAAACTGTTAGGAAAGTGGATATCTTTCCCCTCAGAGGCTGGTAACTACTTTCAGACAGACCATTATTTATAACTGGAAGAGACTTTGAAATACATTCATTAAGAATTTCTCTAAATAGTTTAGTCAAAAGGACTAAGTAAATTTTTATTTACATTAAATATGCCAAGAAATTTTTTTTAATTAATTTTTTAAATTTATTTGTTCTAATTGGTCATACATGAGAGCAGAATGCTCTTCGATTCATTGTACACAAATAGATGTTCTCTTTGAGTAGTGGATGCTGATCAGTAACGGAGAGTGAGGAGGCATGGGAAATATGGAGGAACTTTGATTGGGCAAAGGAGAGGGAAGGTAGGAAGGATGCATAGGGGCAGGAAAGATGGTGGAATGAGATAGACATCATTATCCTAGGTACATGTGTGATTGCACATATGGTGTGACGCTACATCATGTACAACCGTAGAAATGTAAAGTTGTGCTGCAATTGTGTACAATGAATCAAAATGCATTCTGGTATCTTATATACCTAATTAAAATAAATAAATTAATTTAAAAAAAAGCAAGTGGAGCACAATTTTTCGATTCTGATTGTACACAAAGTAGGGTCACACCATTTGTGCAATCACACATGAACCTAGGGTAATGATATTCATTTCATTCTACCATCTTTCCTATCCCCATGCCCCCTCTCCTCCCCTTCCCTGCTTTGTCCAGTCCAAAGTTCCTCCACTCATCCCATACTCCCCCCCCCATTATAGATTAGCATCTACTTATCAGAGAAAAGATTCAGCCTTTGTTTTTTGGGGGTTGACTTACTCGATTAGCATGGTATTCTTCAACTCCATCCATTTACCTGCCAATTCCATAATTTTATTCTCTTTTATTGCTGAGTAATATTCTATTGTGTATATATACCACGGTTTCTTTATCCATTTATCTATTGAAGGGCATCTAGATTGGTTCCACAGTTTAGCTATTGTGAATTATGTTGCTACAAACATTGACATGGCTGTGTCACTGTAGACGCTGATTTTAAGTCCTTTGGGTTATAGACCAAGGAGTGGGATAGATGGGTCAAATGGTAGTTCCATTCCAAGTTTTCTAAGGAATCTCCACACTGCTTTCCAGATTGGTTGCACCAATTTGCAGTCCCAGCAGTGTATGAGTGTGCCATTTCCTCCATATCCTTGCCAACATTTAATTGTTTCTTGTATTCTTAATAACTGCCCTTCTGACTGGAGTGAGATGAAATCTTGGAGCAGTTTTGATTTGCATTTCTCTAATTACTAGAGATGTTGGACATTTTTTCATATATTTGTTGATCAATTGTATATTATCTTCTGAGAAGTATCTGTTCAGTTCCTTAGCCCACTTATTGATTAGATTATCTTTTTTTTTTTTTGCTGCTTGTGTGTTTTAACGTTTTTGAGTTCTTTAAATATCCTGGAGATTAGTGCTCTATCTGATGAATGTGTGGTAAAAATTTGCTCCCACTCTGTAGGCTTTCTCTTCACCTCATTGATTGTTTGGAGTCTTGCTAAGGAACTCGGGACCTAGGGGCTGGGATATAGTGGAGAGCACTTGCCTTGCATGTGTGAGGCCCTGGGTTCGATCCTCAGAAACACATAAAAAAATAAAAATAAAAATAAAGATGGGCTGGGGTTGTGGCTCAGCGGTAGAGTGCTCGCCTAACACATATGAGGCACTGGGTTCGATCCTCAGCACCACATAAAAATAAATAAATAAAATGAAGGTATTGTGTTCAACTACAACTAAAAAGATATTTTTTTAAAAAATAAAGATATTGTGTCCATCTGCAATAAAAAAATATTTTGAAAAAAAAAAAAGAACTCAGGACTTAATCTGACATGATGAAGATTTGACCTACTTTTCTTCTATTAGGCATAGGGTCTCTGGTCTAATTCCTAGGTCCTTGATCCACTTTGAATTGAGAGTTTTGTGCATGGTGAGAGACAGGGGTTTTATTTCATTTTGCTGCATGTGGATTTCCAGTTTTCCTAGCACCATTTGTTGAAGAGGCTATCTTTTCTCCAATGTGTGTTTTGGGCACCTTTGTCTAGTATGAGATAACTGATAGCCAAAGCAATCCTTAGCAAGAAGAGTGAAGCAGGAGGCATCATATTACCAAACATTAAACTGTACTACAGAGCTGTAATAACAAAAACAGCATGGTATTGGCACCAAAACAGACATGTAGACCAGTGGTACTGTATAGAAGACACAGAGCCAAGAAATTTTAACTAAGTTTTTCCTTAAAATTTCTTTTTCTAGGTGTGTTACATTGAAGGTCACAAGGTAATTAGTCTGGCCAATGAAATGTTTGGTTACAATGGCTGGGCGCACTCCATCACACAGCAGAATGTGGGTGAGCATACTTCCTGGCAGTGCTGTCTGCTTATTTTGGTGTGGTAAGGCAGGTGGATTTGGTTGCCAGCAAGAGGAAAATGGGTGAGTCACAGAGATCCTCTTCAGCTGGTTCTCTTTCCCCCTCCTAGATTTTGTTGACCTCAACAATGGCAAGTTCTACGTGGGAGTCTGTGCATTTGTGAGGGTGCAGTTAAAGGTGAGGGTGATGGAGCAGACCTGCTTCCTGGGAGGATTGGGGGGCAGGTAGTTGGAGTGAGTAGGGAGGGAAGTGTCTGGACCAATACACAGCCACGCTGAAGAGCAGGCTCAGGGTTGTGTCCCTGGAGTGGTGGTGTTCAAAATTTTTACTAATGTATCCCCCAGAAGAATTTATAAATTTACACACATACACACACACACACACACACACACATTTTAGTTGTAGATAGACACAATACCTTTATTCTCTTTTTTATTTTTATGTGGTACTTAGAATTGAGCCCAGTATCTCACATATGTGCTAGGCAAGCACCCTACCACTGAGCCACAACCCCAAACCCTGCCAGAAGAATTTTGAAAATCCATCCCCTCAAAAGAAAAGAAAAACTGCCTTGTCTTCTTGTACATTTTTAGGTTGACAACGTTTTTTTTTTTTTTCTTTTTTGCTGTACTGGGGATTGAACCCAGTGGGGCTCTGCCATGAGCTACATCCCAACTGGTATTATTTTTTATTTTTTAAATTTTGAAATAGGATCTCTGTAGTTGCTGAGGCTACCTGTCAAGTAGCTGAGGTTACAGGTGTGTGCTACCATTCTCAGCTTAAGTTGACTCTTCAGAGTTTTTACCACATATATAAGTAGTTACAAAAGGTAGGCTTCTGGCATATTCTAAAATTTGACATTTTAAAATAAAACTGTCACATCTTTTTTTCTATTTTAATTATATTTATTTATTTTTTTGGTACCCGGGACTGAACCCAGGTGCCTTGTACCACTGACCTACATTGTCAGCCCTTTTTGAAATCTTTGTTTTGAAACAGGATCTCTCTGAGTTGCCAAGGCTGGCCCTGGAACTTGGGATTCTCCTGTATCAGCCTCCTGAGTTGTGGGGACTACAGGCATGTTTTACTGTACCTTCACCATGCCTGGCTGTTACATCTTTTTTAAACCTAACAGTGGAATCTAAATACCATAGGGGATTGAATGCCATCATTTATTTGAAAAAATACATGTGCAAGCTGGCTATTTTTTTTTTTAGTGCTGGAGATCAAATCCAGAGCCTCACACATACTAGTCAAGTACACACTGAGCCCCAGCCCCAGCCCCAGCTCTTTTTATTTATTTATTTATTTTTATGACATAGGGTCTCACTAAAACTTTCAATCCTTCTACCTCAGCCTCCCAAGTAGCTGGGATTACAGGTGTGTGCCACCATTCCCAGCATAAAGCATAAAGATTTCTTTAATCAGCAGAAATCTTACATTGTTCCTTCTTTGTTTGAACTCATATTTTCATTGTTTCCCCCATTGAGATTTATCTAATATATATTTATGGTTGAAAGGTTAATGATAATTGTATTATACTTCTTTGCCTCTGTGTGCTATGGGTGTTGGTGCACATGTGTATATGTATAAAAATATATATTTAAAAATTTTCAGTGACCTTATGGCTTTAAATATTAAAGATTTCTTCTGGATCAGGTTATTAGTTATTGTTAAGACAATTCATCAGACAATGGTGTTTATGTTGAAAAGACAACATAAGTACCAAAATTTAAAGACATAATAAACTTATACAGAAAATGTCTATCTTAACAAGATGGATGGTGCTTTTTAAATTTTTCAGTTAGTTAGAACCATAGTTGAGTATTACTTTTTTTTTTTTTGTAATAGTACTGGGGATTAAACCCAAGATCTCACACATATTAGGCAAACATTCTTTCACTCAGGTACATCCCAGTGCTTGTTTTATTTTATTTTGAGACAGAGTCTGACTAAGTTGCCTAGGATGGCCTTGAAATTGTGATCCTCCTGCCTCAGCCTCCCAAGTCACTGGGATTACAGGCGTGTGCCACTGTGCCTGGCATTACTGATTTCTTTCTTTCTTCCCTTTTTTTTTGTAGTTGTCGATGGACAGCATGCCTTTTTTTTTTTAATTTATTATTTTATTTTTTGTGGTGGTGGGGATCGAACCCAGGGCCTTGTGCATGTGAGGAAAGTACTGTACCAACTGAGCTATATCCCCAGCCCCTATTGTTTATTTTTTCATGTGGTGCTAAGGATTGAACACAGTGTCTCACATGTGCTAGACAAGTGCTCTGCCACTGAGTTACAGCCCCATCCCCATTACTGATTTCTTGAATGAGTGTTCATCATTACTTACATTCTGACCATTAATTTTTATAAAAAGTACTAATAAACCTTGTTCACACAAATAAGTAGTTGGGAATTGAAGGAATTTTATTATAGTGTCCCTCATTTCTTTGAGTGCTTTCTGATTTATTTTTAGAAAATCAGAGTGTTGTCATTAAGCATTATATTTCTGTTGACAAAAGCCAAGAAACAAAAAAAAAGATTTGCTATCAAATCAGAGCTCATTACATTAGGTACGAAATTTCAAATTATTCTTTCACTTGACAATTCCAGAGTTTTTATACTTCAGGGTAATGAAACTTAGAAAGATTTGGGATGGGTTAGAAATATGCCTTCTTATGTAACGGGCTTTGGAAGGGAGAATCATCTTGATGCCTTAACATTTCCAGGTACTTCCGGTCTAGGAAACAGTTCTGGAAATTGATGTCTTAGAACTATCTGTGCCCTGTCTACTTCAGCAAGGGTTCCATATGCATAGTTTGAATACTGCTGTTTGAGAAAAAGAAGAGCTGGGCAGTCATATACAGGACTACAGCTTTTTATATTAGAGTTTGAACTCCTTTTTCACCCCCAGGATGGTTCATATCATGAAGATGTGGGTTATGGTGTTAGTGAGGGCCTCAAGTCAAAGGCCTTGTCTTTGGAGAAGGCCAGGAAAGAGGCAGTGACGGATGGGCTAAAGCGAGCACTCAGGTAAGCAGAAGGGGTTGGAGTCTAACTGACCTTATTTCAGCTCTTGTTTAAGAGCAGTTTCCTGGAAAAGTAACATGTTCACATGGGCCCAAAATCTAAATAACATGAAAAGATAAATCTTACTCCTACCCTTGTGCCTGTTTATCCTATTTTCTCATTTTGGTTTGTGTTTCCTCAGTGTTTTTGCTGAGGTCTTCCATGTTGGAGAATGGTAGAATACTATATTCTCTTTTTTAGTCCTTGCCACCCCAGGAACATGTCATGGTAACTTTTAGCCATGAGTACTGTGCTAGTCAGCTTGCTGTTACTGTAACAAATACTTGAGATAAATCAACTTATAGAGGGAAACGATTTGTTTTGGCTTACAGTTTTAGAGTTTCAATCCAGGATTAGTTGACCCTGTCACTTTTGGGCCTGTGGTGAAGCAACACATCATGGAAGGGACCGCATGGTAGAACAACCTATTCACTTTTTGGAGAGGAAGTGAAAAAACAGATAAAGAAGAGACAAGTCAAGTGCCCCACAATCCCCTTTGAGGACAGATCTTTAATGACCTTCAACCTCCCATTAGGCTCCAAATTGTAAAGATTTCATCACCTCCTAATACCACCAGTCTAGGAATCAAGCCTTTTAAGGCATAGGTTTTATGAGTGATTTCTTAGTCTTTTCATAATCACCGTCTCTCTTCAAGGGATTTGTGTGTTATACTCACTGCTGTATTCTCAGAACCTAATCCAAGTATTCGAATGTGGCCTGTTCAGAAACCATTTATTGAGTATATATTAGATCCATTTCCTCTAATACAATTGAGAAGCGATTTGTGTACAGTTTTAACTCTGAAATTACATGTAACAATCCTGTTTTGCTTTTTTCCTCTTCCCTTTAGGAGTTTTGGGAATGCGCTTGGAAATTGTATTCTGGACAAAGACTATCTGAGGTCATTAAATAAGCTTCCACGCCAGGTATGTTAGAGTGGCTAGATGGAAGGGTAAGATAATACAACAGGTTCTCTTGTGTTGTGGGTTGAGTGTTTGGGGGATGGAGGGAGAAATGAGGATTTAGATATTTACATAGTCTTGAATGTTTATTTCAGCAATGTTATTGCTGTCAGGAATCAGTCACTTCATTTTATAGGTGGAGAAATTGAGGTCAAGAGAATTTCCATTACCTGTCTTACGTAAAGAGAACTGTGGTGGAAATGGTCTGAGTCCTTAGAATGAGCACATAATTCTTTTCTGCCCATTGTCACTTCCCAGAAAAGCTCAGCCTTCTTTCTTTCCCTTAGCTCTGGTGTGTTTAAGGTGCAGATCTCCTTTTTTTTTTTTTTTTTTAATATTTTTATTAGTTGTTGATGGTCCTTTTTAAAAAAAATTTATGTTTTAGTTATAGGTGGACACAATATCTCCATTTTATTTTTATGTGGTGCTGAGTATTGAACCCAGTGCCTCACGAATGTTAGGTGAGCGCTCTACCTCTGAGCCACAACCCCAGGCTTTTTTTTTTCCTTTTTATTTTTTTAAAATTATTTTTTAGTTGTAGTTGGACATAATACCTTTATTTTATTTATTTTTATGTGGTGCTGAGAATTGAACCCAGTGCCTCACACATGCTAGGCAAGCACTCTACCACTGAGCCACAACCCCAACCCCAGATCTCCATTCTTTCTCTAAGTATCTATCATGTGGTCTGAGCATCTGCCTTAGGAGTAGGGGATCTGCATTGCAGTATCCCTGGAGTCACTCAAGAGCCTGAATGAGTTAACCTTTGGGGTGTTCTTCCTTGCTTGGTGGTGAGTCCCTGCTTTCTCTGTGGCCTTCTCTGCCCTGTGGTCCCTGCCATGCTGCCACCAGATCAACATTCCCTGGAGCCCCTAGTAGAGGTCAGTTGGCCTCTGTCAAAACTCCATGATCTATTTTTAAAATCATTTTTAAACATTAGATGCAATATTTTGTTAAGGATTTTTGTATTGTTTACAAAAGATATTAGTCTACAATTTACTTTTTTATTGTGGCATAAAAGCACATAAAATTTATCATCTTAACCATTTTTAGTATACAGTTGAGTAGTGTTAAATTTATTCACATTGTTGTGAAACGGATCTCTGGAGTTTTTCATCTTGAAACACAGAAACTCTGTTCCCATGAAATAACCCCATCAACCTCTATAGGGGCAATCAACCACTGAACTATATCCCTGGCTCTTTTTTAATTTTTTGAAATTTTGAGAGAGGGCCTTGCAAAGCTGCTGAGGCTGCCTTTGAACTTGTGATCCTCCTGCCTTAGCCTCCTGAGCTGCTGGGATTACAGCCACTGCACCTGGCTGCCATTCTACTTTCTGTCTCTGAGTTTGACTCTTATGGATACTTCACATAAGAGGAGTCACATACAGTTTTTATTTTTTAGTGATTGGCTTATTTCACTTAGTATTAATGCCTCAATATTTATCCATATGGTAGCAGGCATCAGAATTTTCTTCCTTTTCAAAGCTGAATCATATTCTGTTGTATGTGTATATTTCCATGTTTCATTTATCCACCGTCTGTCGATGGGCATTTGGTCTACTTCTACTTCTTGGCTATTGTGAATAATATTGCTATGATTATAGATGTGTAAAAACCCTTGGCAACTCTGCTTTCAGTTTTTTTGGACATATACTCAGAAGTGGCATTGCTGGATTCTACGGAAGTTCTATTTTTTAATTATTGAGGAACTGTCATACAGATTTCTATAGTAGTTGCACAATTGTACAGTCCTACTTAATATCATGTAATAGTTCTGATTTATCCTTGCTGTTTTCCTCTTCTTTTTTTTTTTTAATAGTAGCAGTCCTAATGGGCAGGAAGTGATATTTTATTGTAGGGTTTTGTTTTGCATATTCCTGATAATTAGTGATATTTAATATGCTTTCATAAACTTATTGGCTATTTGTATATCATGTTAGGTAATATTTAGGTCCTTTGCCATTTTAAATTTTACATATATTATATATATTTTACACATAAAATATATATGTAATATATATGTATATATTTATTGATATAATTTTTTTTAGCAGTACTGGGAATGGAACCCTGGGGTGCTCAACCAGTGGGTTACATCCCTATCCCTTTTTATGTTTTGAGACAGGACCTTGTTAAGCTACCCAAGTTGGCTTCAAACTTGTCATCCTCCTGTCTCTGCCTCCCACATTATAGACTGCACCACTGTGACTGGTGATCTGTGATGGATTTCCTGGAGTTGCTAGAGGACTTTGGGGTTTGAGGAGTTTTATTTTGTTTCTTTGATTGGGTTTTGTTTCCTTGCTTCTATATGTCTTGTGATCTTTTTTGAGATCCGAGTATTTGAAAAACCACCCACCTTTCCAGTGTTTATGTCCTGGCTTGTGGGGTGGAAGACAAGACCTTTACCACATGGGCCGGCCAAGGGTTCTGGGATTTTTCAAACCTTTCATATCTTTTGTCCCTCATGATGTCTGCTTGCAGCTCTAAAATGTTGTGGTGCCCACCTGTTTTAGTCCCTTCCAAATTCTGCTGCCATTTGTCTATTAGTGCTCTGGGTAACAGGATAGAAAATGGTGTCTCAGACAGCTCACAAACAAGCCAGAATACTGGATATGTGATCCATTCTTCGTTTTCCATCCTGACGGAAGCTCCCTGGCAGTGGAGGTTTCCTCCCAGCTGTACCACTCTGCTCAGGGTGGAATAGTGGCTGGATGAGTGTGCGTCACGCTGCACATGCTCTTAACCCCTCTGGCTGGAATGCTGTCACACTTTTATTGGTGTAGGTGGTGTAGCTTCTCCACTAGCTCTAGAGTTCTCACTAAGGTATTCTGGTCCACATATTGTTAGGTTTCTCTATGGGAGAAAAAGGGCTCCCACTCTGTCATCTTGTTGATGCCACTTACATTTCTTCTGTTTTTAATGAATTTTTAAAATGAGGTGCAATATACAGACAACTGAACAAATCATATTAGCACAACTTGATGAATTTTCCTAAATGAACACAGCTTCTTACCTCTCAGAAAAAGAACTGTACTAGCTCTCCAGAAGCCATTTATACATACCCTGTCACAACTTAACCTTTATCTTTTTAGTAGTAACCACTGTCTTGACTTCTCTGTCTTCCAGACTTATATTTTTTCCTGTTTTTGAATTTTATATTTCTTAAAGAATGGATTGAAGTATTAAAAAGTATACATGACATGGAGACAAGTGCACATAATATCAGTGTTCAACTTGATGGATTTTAAAACCAAACACATCCACGTAACAGCCTCTGGATCAGGACACAACATGACTAGTATTGGAGAAGTCTCATTTTTATTCCTTGCAGTCACTACCAAGGAAAGCCACTGTTGTTTTGTTTGTTTGTTTGTTTGTTTTTGGTGTTTTTTGGCAGTGCTGGGGAGGAACCCAGGACCTCACATATGCTAGACAAGCTCTGTACTACTGAGCTACATCCCCAGCCTGCCATGGAGAACCACTTTTAATAGATTTGTTTGATTGTTAGGTACTCTCTGTAATCATATTGTCAGAACTCTTCTATCTGGCTTTCCTGCATTCTGTGAGATTCATTCATGGTGCATGCAGCATTTTCATTGATGTATAATTTTCTATTTCAAGAATATATGATAATTTGTTTTTCCATTCTGTCTTTAATGGACATGTGGGTTTTTTGTAGCTTTTGGCTATTTTGAATAGAGCTCCTTTTAGCACTCTTGTGTGTGTCTATTGGAACTCAATTGTACTCATTTTGCTTAGGACTTTCTAGTTCAGAAGATACTTAGTTTTAGTAGGTTCTTCTACTTTTCCAGTATGATTGTATGAATTTGCACTTCCACATAGCATTATTAAGAGCTCTAATTGTTTCATAACCTGAACATTACTTGGTATTGCCAGTCTTTTTCCCTTTTTTTTTTTTTTTTTAGCTTTTTTTTTCTTTTAAACAGCAACTTGAATTATTGTGACTTATAAATAAAAGTTTAAATAGATAATTGAAACACCTAAAAAATAAGCATTTAGACATATTAAATATATTTTATCTCCCTTAATATTATATTTCATGCTGTCTTTTTTTTTTTTTTTTGGTACTTAGGATTTAACTCAGGGCCATTTAACCACTGAGCCACATCCCCAGCCCTATTTTGTATTTTATTTAGAGACAGGGTCTCACTGAGTTGCTTGGCCTTGGTAAATTGCTGAGGCTGGCTTTGAACTCTCCATCCTCCTATCTCAGCCTCCCAAGATGCTGGGATTATAGGCGTGTGCCACCGTGCCTGGCATTGCTGTGTCTTTTTAACCTTCTCAGGTACATTTCAATGTAGATAAGAAATCCAAACTATAATTTTCATTTTCATGTTATCATTATTAAAATATAGTCATTTTAATTTCTTGTATTCAAATAATTATTCATCAGAATCAATTTTATGAATTGAAAGATATGTTCTCACTGGGGATGGTGGTACATGTCTATAATTCCAGAGACTCAAGAGGCTGAAGCAGGAGGTTTGGAAGTTCTAGGCCAGCGTCACCTGTATCAAAAATAAAAAAATAGAAAGGGTGGCGATGTGGCTCAGGGGTTAAGCGCACCTGGATTCAATCCCCAGTACCAAAATGTTTTAGTTGTACTACATCATACCTTCAACTTCTTTAGTGATGAATGTTGTGTTTGTAGGGAGCACTGCTGGCTGGGAGGGCTGAGAAGATACAGGTCTCCTCAAAGACTATGTGTCATCTCTTCTCTGAAAAAAGGAACAAGGGGACAGTATAAGACAGGTCAGCTGCCAAGGAGAGATTCAAATTAGATTATACAGACTGTTGCCCTGAGTCAAAAACAAAGAAGGGTTCTTTTTTATAAAAAGATCATTAATATAGAAAATTATAAAATAAAAAGTAAAATTGTTCACTCTTCCACATGTGGTTGTGACATGTGGAAGAGTGAACTGTGGTCACAGCTAAGGCAGGAGGATCGCTTGAGCCCAGCAGTTTGAGGCCAGACTGGGCAACAGCAAGACCCTGTCTTAAAACAAAATGACTTGGAAGTTGTGGATCTTTTTTCTCAGCCTTTTAGGACCTAGGAAGAATGATGGATAGGCGACTGGCAAATGCCATTTTCTGGGAGTCCTAGGCTATATGATGCATGGAAGAGAAAGGAACGGGGTAAGCAATTTGAGCAAATTTTTTTTCTCCTTTCTCCCCTTGTTAGTTGCCTCATGAAGTGGATTTAACTAAAGCAAAGAGACAAGATTTTGAACCATCTGTGGAACAGGCAAGATATAACAGCTGTCTACTGAATAGGGCTGTGGGACCTTCAAAACCACAGAAGGTGACCTCTCCATGCAGACCAAGCCACTTGGATGATCCCCACATTGTGCTGCAGGGGGACAAGGCCAGCAGTTCCCGGTAGGAGCCCAGTTTCTGTCCTTTTCCTCTTCTGCCCTCTCTGTGGCTTGGGTTGCTGCCATTTCTGCTTTTAGAAGCAGCAAGTTGGTTTGTGTGCCTCCTGAAGACCTGTGTATTTGTTAGTAATTTGGTTAACTACCTTCTTGATCTTCAGATGCAGAAGCCCGACACCCTGCACCGCGGAGAGTGATGCCACATACCAGCGGAAGCTCCGGCAGCAGCAGCTGCAGCGGCAGTTCCGGGAGCAAATGGAGAAGCAGCCACGTGCTCAGATGCCTGCTCCAGAGGTTGAGAAGAGGAGTGAGGGTGTGTGAGGGCTGGCAGCAGTGGCCTGGGTGTGCTCTGAAGGAAGAAGTCTAGGGGACAGGATGACCTGATTCTGAAGAGGCCAGTAACAAGGTGGTTAGCTCCAGGCCAGGTTCCATGAGGGCCTCTATCAGAACACACAGGATAGATGAGTCCAGTAAATTAAGATGGTGAAATCTCCCATGTACTTTGCTGTTTCTGAAGACAGTGGTTTTTTTGGGGGGAAGTAAATAGGCCTTGCCATAATGTGGAATTCATAATTTTAGGGCAAAGAATTTTTTTTGGCTTCAGATACTTTGTCTCTGGATTAGAAAGCCTTATTTTTTTTCCTAAATGGCTTTGAGTGTAAGGCAAATTGGGTTTGAAGATAATGGGAGCTTTTGGCAGGTTATCTGCCAGTGAACTTTAGCTTATTTCAGAGTGCAGGTTCAGTGGAAGTAGTAAGACATTTTTTGACGGGGAGAGTTGGGGGTGGCGCAGAGAGTGGAAAGAAAGAAAGGGCATGTCCCAGACCAACTGAATTTTTGCCAATTTTCCCCACAAATGATGAGGATTCAGAGGATGTACTTTGTGTTTTGGTTATTTCATCCTCCTCAGCTTTTATACACAGGGCTGGGGATATAGCTCAGTTGGTACAGTGCTTGCCTCACCTGCACAAGGCCCTGGGTTCAATCCCCAGCAACCCCCCCACAAAAAAAAAAAAAAAAAAAAGAAAAAAGAAAAAGAAACTGTCCTTGGCCTATCCTAAGAACGAGTTATTCCAGAGGCTTAGCTTCTGACCATTGCAGGTGCTCTCAGGTGGGTTGTGGTGGAGGAAGGCGGACTCCAGGGCTTTCCCCAAACTTATCAGTCAACAAGAACCATCGCTTCAAGCCTCAGCCTGGATGGCTTCTAAAAACCCTTCTATTTTTTAAAAATTAGCCATATGTATGTATATGTGTATGTATATATGTGTGTGTATAAGAAATGTACATTTTAGTTGTAGATGGACAAAATATCCATTAATTTTTATGTGGTGCTGAGGATCAAACCCAGTGCAAGTAGTCAAGTCCTCTACCACTGAGCTACAACTCCAGCCACCCTCCTATTTTTTCTGTTAAAGAACACACTAGCTTTTGCTTGTCCCACTTTGGTGAGAAGGATATAACAGTACAGATCTCGAAGGACAGGAACTCAGGAAGTTGAGTTCCTTTACCAGCTGAGCCTTTGTAGCCTCAGGCAGCTTTGCATTTCTGAGATGGCTCCCTCTAAACAGAAGGGAGTTGATCTGATCTCTAATTCCACTTAATCAGTCTATGTCTGACTTCTTTCTCTCCTGTGTGAACTCTAGCAGCACTTCCTGCCCGCCCTTTGACGCACAGCACCCCTATAACTGACACAGAGCCACTCAAGGAGAAAGTTTTCCTTGCAGGTAAATGACATAAGAATTAGTAAGTATCCATGGAATGTTTGTAATTTACTGTGGTGCATACTTTTGGTAGTCACAGAATACATATTAAAAGAAGCATAAAAGTCCTAATTTTTGGCTGGGTGTGGTGGCACTCGTTTGTAATCCCAGAGACTTAGGAGGCTGAGGCAGGAGGATTGCAAGTTGGAGACCAGGCTCAGAAACTTAGTGAGGCCCTCAGTAACTCAAGGCTTAAGGATGTTACTCAGTGTAAAGTGTCCCTGGGTTCAATCCCTAGTACCCCCCAAAAAAGTGTGTGTGGGGGCTTCACTTTTGTCTGTTTTTTAACCTATATGAAGTTTTAGAAAAATGGAAAGAGGCCTTCAGGTAGACTAAGGGGCTCTGACTTCATAGATATGTTTAGCTCTTCTGTTGTCCCAACAAAGGGAAGCTTCAGTATACTTTTCAGGGCAAAGAAGAGAAAAATTGTGAATTTTGTTATTGAGTACTTAAGACCTAGAATTTCTTGTGACCACTTTTCCCAGTGCTTTCTGTGAAGACAATTTGCTTTTCTGTGATTTCCATTAGAGAACCTTGAAGACAATCTTGAAATGTGGGATCTGACTCCAGATTTAGAGGACATTGTCAAGCCCTTATCTAGACCAGATCCACCCCAGACCTCTGCCACCCGAGTCCTGAACAATCAGGACAGGATGCCACACAGCGATCTTCACCAGAAGCCACAAGAAAAATCTGGATTCTGGCACCCAGAGACTTACAGCACTAACCAGCATGTAACACGTAGCAGTGAGATGTGTTTAGGTACAAACTTAAAGGGAGATCCTGGGCTTAATTCTTTAAATTTTAAAGGAAGGATGATATTTCATTTTAAGAAATTGGATGGAATCATTCCAAGGCAATAAATAAGCAGTGCAAATAGGAAGAAAACAGTGGGTTTAAGAGCCAGAACATTTTCTTGGGCTTCTGATTTCAGATGCTACCCTTTTTAGCCTTAGACATGACTGCATTTGGAACTTTTCCTTCTAAAAGTAGGTCCGCTTGGCCTAGGGATTAGCAAAGGTATCTACTCCCCATAACAGTAGTTTTCATTCTTGAGCTCTTAGTCTGAACTAGGATCATTATATTAATCTAGAATTATTCTCTATCTAGCCCTTATTTTTAAAAAACATGGCAGCTGTGTTTAAGCCATTGTATCTTCCACAGGAAACTCTGAATCTCATAGGAAGAGCCAGGACATGAAGAAAAGGAAATTGGATCCATCTTAAATGACTCAGGACCTACTTGGACTGTGACAAAGGGACTTTGGAAAACTGCTTTTTGGTCTTGAAATTATTCGTCATTCCTGGGGAATGAACTTGATTTCCAAGGATTACCTTGATTCATTTTGAACCTTTTCAGAGGACTTGACTGTTAAGCCTACTACAGAGAAAGATGAGCACTTTGAAAAAGCCTGTCACATGCTGCAGTAGGGAGGCCAAGGACAGATGAAATACCCGTCTTTTGACTCTTCAGGCTTTTTCCTCTTTACTCCTAAGCTATTTAATGTTAATAAAGGTAGACATTTTAGGACTCGCTAATGGCTACCTGCCCTCAATATACAGCAATGTAGAGGCCATGCTCCAAAAGTACTTTCAGGCTTCTCTCTATATATAACATATCCAAATTGTCAGCATCCTTGTTCTTACACTTTGTGGACATTAAATAAGGGTTACTTGAACTTCGATACAAGCATGGCAACAATGCCCAAGTTGATCTAATAACTAAGAAGAATAATGCATAGATAACACATATAGCATGGATATATTGGATAAAGGTATGATTCATGTCCTGGGTGGGAAAGCATATGATTTTATCACATTATTTAGACTGATGTTCAATCTAAAAACCTTAGAAAGCAAAATTATGGGTAAGAGAGGGAATACTATAAAATCTCTCAGTTGTGGGTTCATGTCAGCACAATTAAGACCAACATTCTTTGCTAATCAAAGAAATAATGATCGAAGATCAAGAAAAAGGTACATGCACCTCAGAGCATTAATCTCCAGGATATATAAAGAGCTCAAAAAACTTAACACCAAACAAATAACAAACACGATCAGTCAATAAATGGGCAAAGGAACTGAATAGACGCTTCATAGAAGAAATACAATTGATCAACAAATAAATGAAAAAATGTTCAACATCTCTAGTATTTAGGGAAATGCAAATCAAAACTTCACTGAGATTTCATCTCACTCCAGTCAGAATGGCAATCGTTTGATTGAACACAAGCAATAACAAATGTTGGCAAGGATGTGGGGAAAAAGGCACTCTCATACATTGTTAGTGGGACTGCAAATTGGTGCTCAATTCACAATAGCTAAACTATGGAACCAACCTAGGTGAACTTCAATGGATAAAGAAAGTGGTACATATACACATGGGGTATTAGTCATATAAAGAATGAATGAATGGATGGATGGAACTGTGATCATGATAAGTGAAATAAGCCAATTTCAAAGAACCAAAGGCTGAATTTTCTGATATGCGGATGCTAATTCACAATAAGGGGAGCAGAATAGCGGTATTTTGGACTAGCAGAAGACTTGACGTAAAGGTAGGGAGTAGAAATGATCAAGAAAGCAAATTTACTTAATACTAGTAGCTGTTTGTAATGTGAGATGGAATGCACTGTAAAATAAAATTTATTTTTCACAGTATTTAGATGTTTCATGATTGTTTTCCCAAAATAATGCATTTGCACTTTTACTTTTTAAAGTGCATTCTGGGCCTAATCTTGAAGTAGTGACTTTTTACTTTTTGGATCCCAGACCACTGATAATGGTGCCCCAATGTGAGGCAAGTGAGTCTTGAAAGTACTGGACAGCTGCTGACCTTTCCTGTTCCTTTAGAAGATGAAGAGACAGCGCCTGCCTGCCTGAATTTGCCTGTCTTCTAAAAGCCTTATTGGTGTTGCGTGGATTTGGTGTTTTCATCTTTTGATTTTAAGATCCTTAATGTCTTCCTCAGAAAAAGTCCACTTTCCTTGCAGAATCTTAATTGAGGGCAACATCACTGCTGAAGTTCCAGAGGGAATGGGAATTCAGTTGTAAACTGCACAACAGAGCCAATGAGAACATGAAAAAGGCACTTCCTGGAAATGAAACCCCACAGCTCAACAAAAGCAAGTTTGGTTTATTTGAATGGTTTCATTAAATAAGTCTACAAAGGTAACAAACTGAAGCACAAAGCGCAATCTTACAAGAAGCGCAACACCCAGAGTTAGTGCAAAATGTACAATTAACGGCTGCTGAGAAACCCCCAAGGTTTGAATTCAGTTTGTTTTTTTAAACAGTGTACATTGTTAAATAATGTAAGGAAAACATTTATAGTTCAGAAAGTTCTTTTTAATATGGAAAAGATACTTGAAGGGTACTATTAACAAAAATAATTTAAACAGTTCAGTAGCACTAGTTCATTCCTCTAGGCTTCAGTTATTTCATCCACAGGAAGGGGAAAAAATCAACAGTAAATAAAACCAGTTCTTATTTTTGTGTATAAGTGAAAAGACCTCAAAATTGCTAAACCAAAAATAACAAAACAATGTGCTGCATTTGGCACCCTCATTCCTCTGGTAGAAGTATCATTTCATTCACTTCAAGCGGTCCATTTCCCATTTACTCGGCATCATCTTTGTTCTCACTCTTACCCTCTCCCCAAGAATTAAACAGAAAAATAAGTCAGCACTTCTGCAGCAGGGCTTGGAACCCCTGCCCTTTTCATTTCTACCTCCCTAAAACCTTTAGCTCTCTCTCATTGGTATCTCTGGGGCCTAGGCCAACTTAATAAAGAAATAGAACCAGGGCCAAATTGGAACAAAAAAGATCTGGATAGCTACCAGGCTCTTCCTATCATGGAGACTCCTGGGATGTGCCATTGAGGTGGGTGAAAGGTTGGAAATACGGTATGTCCCAACTAAGTCAAGAGAAGCAGCACCCAAGAAAAAGTCCTATTTTCTTTCCCCATCTTCTGAGAATATCCCAAACATAGCCAATTAGAACAGTATTTATTTCTGGAAAGTTCTGAAAGTAACAGAACTGCCCATTACAACTAGACATAGCATTAAATAATACTGGTTGGTTGCAGTTATGAAGGGGGAGTATGTAAATGAACAATGTGAGAATATTAGTTATAATTGTAGAAATATAGGTGGCACGACAGATTATGATCCTGCAACCATTTGGGCATCATCATAGAGAAAACAGAAATAAAGCATTCTTTCCTACAATGCTTATTAAATCAGAAGTTGGTCCGCTTTCCATAGAATAGAGTACCCCAAGCTGAGAAATGCAAGGTGTAGGTGCATGAAGAGAGCTGTCCAAATGGTTTTTCTTGGAGCAACTTTTTCCATCTGCCACTCTTCCCACCTTAAAAAATGAGCTACCCATCCCCTTCTCCTTATGTTTAATTTCTTCCAGGTCTCATCTGTTCAAGCCCAGCTCAAATCAGTAAGATTTACGACAATCTGGCCAGGCGTCAGGTATCTTCGAAACAAGTGTGTGCCCCCTTTAATTAACCTTTCGTTTTCTTTCTCTTAGCTCACACCTCCCTTAATCTTTTATATTGTGCAATTTTGATGTAACACCCCTCCCTAACTATTCCTGAAACAGAACTTTCTGTTTTCAACCACTGATGTCAACTTCCCATCTTACTTATCTTACACCTGCTTTAGACAAAATTGTTGAATGATTAAAAAAAAAATACTCTTTTCAATTTCCCTTTGGCATATCCACTGCTGGGGTCACATGGACCTAAATGTTCTTTCCACATGCCCTTTGTTGATCTGGGATCTGGTAAGTCGATGCTAATGGCAGAAGCAATAGAAGTCCAAGGCACTAAAATATCCAGCAAGCAATACTGGGAGAACAGAAGTATTCAAGTACAGTAATTTATACAATTTTACATTCACATTTATTTATCTAATACAATGGAAGTACAAAGGAAAAAGTTAAAGTGTCTCAATAAGTAAAGGACAGAGCTAGCTTTTTTTGTGTGTGAACTTTTTAAACCTTTCATATTTTACTCTTAAAACTACTGTTGTCCAACAACATTTATATATCACAGTGTTTCCACATCAAAACTGATGGCAAAGTTACATGTCCGCAGGGAACGTTTTTTTTTTTTTCCTAATTACTAATGCTGCAGTCAAAGCTGCTATTATCTTTTGCTTAAAGCACTAATGACCTATTATAAGAAAGGGTTGCAACCCCAGTCCCCTGGTATTTTTCACTGGGTTCTAAAAGAGGAGAGGGGGAAAAAAGCAGGGATGGGGGCAGAGTAGGAGAGAACCCTATATTGTTTGATGGTTTGAATTCTTGAGGGAGTAAGGGATTTGGGGCTTGTACCACAATTAAGAGCTGTACCCACTTGCAGATACAAATGGGCTCTGGCTTTACATTGAGCTCTCTTGTAGCTTCTTGATAACAAGATTCTCTTCTAGCCCTGGGCCTCACTGGTGGGTATAGATAAATAGGAAAGCATAGACTGAAGCAGCCTCTTCACAAGAAAGTTGCTCTCTCCTTGTCCCATTCCAATAAATGGAGAGGGAGGGAGAGTCTCCATTCTGAGGGCTCAAAGCGGTATTACAAACATTCCCTTCTGGCAAGAAATAACCAGTTAAATGCAGCACTAGTAGTTAGTAAATAGGCTACTTCCCCATCCCCCCACCCTCCTTTCAGCATTCCATCTCCTGCCCCCAGATCTACTCAATTAATGTCTCTAGGTCTCACTAAGTGGTCCGCAGGTTGGAACCTGGGGGGTTGCTGATGGATTTCTGCAAATTGCTGATGTTGAAATTCTGTAAGGAGGCAGTTCCTACAGGCTGGAACTGGCCAAGTGGCTGTGGTGCTGGGCCACCCGTCCCACTCCACTGAGTGCCAAATGGGGCAGCTGGAAAACCGTACTGCTGTGGGGGGCACATAGACTTGGTGAAGTGACCTAGAGAGGTAGCTGATGCTGCAGAGATGGGGGCAGAGCCACCCAGGTTTGAGGTCATGGAGATGCAAAGCTGTCCAGGTGCAGAAAACTTTCTTGCCATTCCAGGGCCCTGAAAACAAAAAACAACTAAGTTTAAAGTCTGGTGGGGGTATAATACCCCCAGGGGTAAAATGGGCAGTTTAATAATACAATTCTAGGAGCAATGAAAATACCACGCCTATTGGAAGGAGGAAGGTGTGTGTACACATGCTCACGTAGTTTAGAATGTTAAAGGAAAAGGGAAGAAAAAAATGAGCTGACCAATAAGGAGTCAGGGATTCAGGGAAGGGAAAGTAAAAGGGCACTTGGGTGATTTTCATCTTGTTTTTCTAAGTGAACTACTAAGGAAGGTTGTGGCATAAAAGGGTACACTAGACCTAGTAGTTTGTATCACCTCTGATTCATCTGTGTTAGGTAGTAATGTGAGAAATTAGGAAAATGGCAAAAAAGAAGCCCTTACCTCATAATTCATGTGTCCTTTGCTTCCTCTTCTGCCTGAAAGATTCATGGCATCTCGGGCCCAGTTGTCTACCAGCTTGTGTAGGTCATCTGTGAAGGTGCCCTTCCTGCTGGATGTCATGGCAGGAGGCTGAGCTTGGGCAGCTTGGCTGTTCACTGTTCCCCCAACAGTGTTTGTGCTGCTGGTTCCTGGAGTTATAAAGTAGTGACAATAGCAGCATTAAAAAAAGAGTCTAGATTATTAATTCCAGGAAGAGGGAAAATGTCACAGGATGATGAATGGCAAGCACAGAATGGGGACAGGAATTGGGAAGCCATGCAAGAAAGGAAGATTACAAGGTTTTATTTAGGCATTTATTTTGGCACTAAAGGGTAATGAAAACAGGTTCTCTTCAGTAACTGCAGATAAGTCTGAACAACTTAGGAAGATGGCAGGTATGAAGGGCAGGAATCTCTTTCAAAGCATCTTAAAGTACTGGAACTTTCTGCCAGTGCTCTATTCCCAGCATCACACTGGGTGAGAGTATAATATGGTCAACAAGGAGCACTGCTGTGGAAGTTTGCAGAATGCAGGGCAAAAGAAGGATTTCTTGTGCACTGGGCAGGTTAAAGTTGGGGTAGAAGTTCAGAGATGGGTACTTGGCTATGGAGAATATGGGTTCTCAAATCATGTGGATATTGCCACATTTTTAAGTCATTCTTTAATAGAAAGTAGTATTAAGAGAAGTAGCATGCTCTGTTAAATTTTTTTTTCACTTTGACCCACGAATATAAATTTGTAAATATAAACTTGGAAAGAGTTAAGCCTTCAACCCTTCTCAATTTTCCATGAGTAAAGAACAAAGATTAGGCAAGGGAAGTGACCGAATCAACTTCAGGAAGACATGTTTTCCTGAAGACGATCTCAGTTTCAATTGGTTCAAGGATTCTCACACCTTCTCCCCCTCTTCCCAGAGCAGCAAACACTCCCATGTAGAAGCAACAGGACAGTTCAGCTGAGGCAGGGGTGCAGAGGGTAGAGGAAGCTTTCGGGTTATGATGAAGGAATTCTATTTCTATGGTTTGATGAAAAAGGAAGAAGGAGTCTGTGTCCTGCCTGATTTCGGCTCTGCTGGAGGGCACACTGAAGGTTTATTCGAAGAGGCAAGTTTTAGGGAAGAGGGAAAGAAGAGTCACGGTCTTATTTTTTTTCCCTCATCCCCCACTTTCTTAACAGATCTCACATTTACTGCAGAATAAATAAAAGCTACTAAAATAAGTTGTGAGCCAGTAGGCCTGACGAAACCCAAGTAATAGTGGGGCTAAATAAGTTCATGCGTTTTCCTGCTTTCAAGGACAGAGCAGCACACCAGAGCACAGCAGCACACCTGAAGCAACACTGCCACTTACAGCCTTTATAATCCATTGCTGGTTTCAAGTCAATTTGCCGTCTTTCCACTCAGGGAATGGCACATACAAGCATGTCTACACTAGAGGAACAGTTAATTCTGAGGTGAAGGTGCAGAGTGAGGAAGGTCACATGCTTCTTACCACCGTGGCAAGACACGGAACTACTGCAGTGTGAGTGACAGCTCACGTGGTGCCGCTGGAGCCACAGGGTATTGTCATTGCACACAGGGTATATAGGGGGAAGAGTGGATTCCCCTGGAGTACAGGAAACCCAAGTGGAAAAATATAAAAGCACAGGAAACAGCCTTCCTCAAATAGCAAATGTGAGACAGAGGGAAATGGAAAGTACAGGCAATGAGGACGGGCAATCATGATAACAAAGAAATCCAGACAGCAAGCACACAGCATGCATTGGGGACTGGCATCCTGCTTAGGGTGACTACTGTTTAGTGAAACGATCAAAACAAACAGAAGTCATCATGAATGAACAGGGCTGTCCAATGCCAAATATGAGAAGCTGAGTGGAGGTGAGCACTGCTTAACCACAGAGAGCTCATGCTGGGAGTCACACTTCTCTAGTCTGATGCTAGCTGCTCTTGATAGTGTGAGGCCCCTTCAGAACTAAATTTCACTTTTCATTTTAACCTGTATTACCCAGTATTGGATTCTGAAAGTGGGGCTTATGACATGAAGGAGTACGAACCATAGAGTTAACTTTTTTACTTTGGCTTCTGTAAATAGGCTTCCAGTTAAAAAAGGAAACAAAAATCCCTTTCTGATGAGAAATTCACCCCTAGGAAAAGCAAGGTTGACTATAACATAGACCTGACTAGTAGAAAGAGACCTTCTAGAGAACATGCTAACTCACCTTGAAAACTTTTTCAATCCTTCTGAAAAGCCCTAAAAAGTGGTATAGACTTTAACCTCCCCAAATTCATGTTTTGATTCCTTCCTTCCAAAAAAAACATCTCCCCTACCTCCATGCTGCCGGATCTTAGGAACCATAACCCATTAGGACTCACAACTTATTGCCTGGTATCCCAAGAGTAGAGTTCTCTTGTTAACTCTTGCTAGGTGGCCTGCTGGGTTGCAGAATTATATGAAAAGACCCCAGTCTAAGAAGCCAAACTCTCCAAAGTAGTATTTCTCTCCGCACTAATCTAGAAGCTGTCTCCCACCATGATGTAAACAATAGGAGGGCATAGACTCTGTCCACTTTGATAACTGCTAAGTCTCTACAGGGTGCAGAACAGTGCTTGGTACCTACTTGCTAACTAAAGAACTCTTTCCTACAGGAGCTAGGCACCCCTAGCTCCCCATGCACATCCACAGGCACTACCAATCCATGACTGTCATTGAGCTAGGTTTACATGGGGAGAGCACTGACTATGAGGTGGTTTCTCAATCTGATATTATAGCCAGGTGTTAGCAATTAAGCATGTTAAAGAATACATTAGAAAAGGTGCAGAGATAGATGGAAGTTGGGAAGCTGGAATTATGAAGCTTCAGAGTTCAAAGAACTCATGGATAACAGGCTTTGCAATCAAGGACCAAAAGTAACAGAAAAGATAATTACTACAGAGCTGGTTGCAAGGACAAACTTTTTTCACCATCTTCCCTGAAGCACAAAGAGAGAGCAGTGTGTTAAAGATAAAGAAACATCAGTGTAAAATCTTTAGATTCTCCAAACAGCATACAGAGTCCCAGCAAGAGAGAGCAGGAGGGGAGACAGATGGGTGGGACCTGGTAGCCTTGACATAGACAAAATTCTATGGGATGTTATCTAACTGGCCGTTAGCCTTCACACAGTGATCTGACAGAGCGTGTTGCCTGTTGAAATGTGTTGAGTTTCCACATCCAATCTCTGTTTTTCAAAGGGTAAGGGGAGAAACTCCAATACCTAAGGTCTCACTGCTTGAATTTCAAACACTCAAGCAGTGTTTCCACTGATACTGTCTCACTTCTTGTTTCTCCTGCTGGGTTGTTATAAAGCACTCAATAAAATTAGTACCACTGTTACAATTTTAATTTAAATTGGCTATTATATTTCTATATTCTAGATAAACACACTAACCCCTTCCCTTCCAGAAAAATCTTTAAAAATATGTGGAAAACAAGCAACCTTTGAACATAAACAGAGCATTAAGCCAAGCCGTGCTTCAAAACCATTATCTATTATTTTGAGAGTACAGAATAATGTAACCCAAACTAATAAGGCCCCCAGATCCTTACAGATACCTGTTTTTTCCCCATATTTTTAAGTCTGCCTCTTAGGATTTGTACAGCAAGCTTACATACTGAATCCTGATGTGCCTTCAAAGATGTATGGCCTCTCATTTAGACCAAAGGGGAAGTGAAAAGATTTAATATTTCTAATCACTTTTATTTGAACAAAGGGGTGTGATACCACCTACCTTTAAATGTCTGATGAGAACTAACAGAATTAAAGTGATACTTATCATCTCATACTTCCAAAAAAAAAGTCTGTTTTCTTTCTTCCCTCTCAAAAGACAGGGAACGTGTGTGTGTGTGTGTATCTCAATCATTTCAGGCTGTATATCATAGGCCTGACAAATCAAATTTATTTCAAAACACTTGTCTCCTACTACTAATGTCCTTTCATCTTTCTAGCTGGACATGCAAATTAAATGCTTATTAGCACTTAATAGGCATTGTCCAGGCTAGTCTAACCAGAAAAAATATTGATGGGAATGTTCTAAAATTACACAAGCTTGGAAAATTACCAAGCTGTGTAATGTCTTTCACCCTCTTCTTTTTAAAGATTTACAAATGTGACAGTGAGGGAAATGGAAATTAAATGTAATTTCAATGTACTCTGAAATTTGGTCACTACAGAGGACAAAGGAGAGTGTAAATTCTTCCCACCATGAAGAGGCCCAGGATCTCTGAACCATATACTCAAACACTGATGGCCTTAGCACATGCATTTAAAAAGCACTTCAATAACCACACCAGAAGTTTGAGGCCTTAATAGATAGTTATCCAAATTCTAACCAAAAAATAAATAAATAAAATAATAAATAAATAAAAATTAAAAAATTTAAAGTTGAGCTTTGTGAAATTTTTATTTTAATATACATTTATTGATCACTTACTAAGTGCTAGATAGGCACTGGCTAATCAGAGAGTACCATGGACCATGACTATGTCCCAAGAGTCATTTATTTTTGTGTCTATGATCTTATCTGATTTATATGCCCCAGGAGATAGGAACTGTCTTCTTCACATATGGGGAAGATGGGTGATTTGCTACTGTGCTTTGCTTTTAAATATAAGGCATTGTATTGTCTTGAACAACTAATATATATATATATGGCTAGGAAATCCCAGCAATCAGATTAAAAAGGCAGCTTTCACTTGAAGGTGCTGGGCTTTGGTCATTAATAGAATAAATGCTTTATCTTGGATAACCACAGTAAACCCCCTTTTGAACTATTAATCTCAGGGGAAAGAGGGCAGTAATGGATCCAATGAAGAAACTTCTACCATCTTTTCAACTAGTAGATGTTTAGGCTTAATGAGGAGAAAACAAGATTCCCGCCTACTCTGAAAAGAATAGAAAATATGGTAAACTTTTACCTGCTTCAAGGACCTAAGCACATCAGTGGTTAAGATGCTTTTTGTCACTCCTAATGCAGGGGCTGGCTGAGAGACAATACTGAATATGACTAGGTGTGGTCTTCATTACTCTCAATGACCCAGTATAAAGTCTTGATCTCTTATCTATCCTGGATCCATATCTATCATGGATCTAGGAAGAAGCAATTCTACTAGAGAGTTATTTTGACATCTATAGAAATCCAATATTATTTTTACATCTTTTACCATAATTAACACAGGGACCCAAACTTCTGAGGGCAATAGTATTCAGCCAAGCCACTGACTAGATGATACACAAAGAGACAAATGAAAATGGACTGCGTGACACATCAGATCCAAGCAGCAGAAAAACAAGGACAAGGAAGGAGTAAAGGTGTTACACACAAAGAGCCAAGCAGGGCGTACTCAGAAATCGGGTCCTCCTGCCACCAGGTTTGAATGTCACCTGCTCAGATGCACAGTTAAACTTCGCACAGCCTGTGAGAGGGGGAAAACGGAAGAACAGAGAGAGGAGAAGAGACAGAACACAACTACAAGATGTTAGAAACTTGAGGCTTGAGTGGTGAAAAGCACTAAGATGGCACAGAGAAGAACAAAGCTTCTGGGAAGGTCAGATATGTAAGACAGGAAATATCAGGCCTCGGTTCCCTCCTTTTGCATAATACTGAAGCTCTTCTCAGTTGGAATAATGTTAGCTAGTTTGTGTTCCTTAGCAACTCTCAAATCTCTATTTTCTAGTAAGTTGTGGCAAAGCCAATGTATCTTTATTTTTTCATTATTTTCTGCCCAGATATTCAACTCTTTTCACTTCTTATTCTAATGTTACTGAAAGCTCCTTCTTCTGTAGGAATGGTTTGAGCAATAATTGTTAATGAACAAAACTATATTTGGAAAGAAGAGATTATAGATGAAAAATTAAATAGTAGAGCTAGTCATCTTAGTTACTCCCATACTTAAAAAAGTCTACAATAGCTAAGAAAACACACTGTTTTTTAGAAACTGCTAAAATTCCTTAGAATTTGGTCCAGGAAATCTCAGCCTAGCAGTAAAGCCTACATTCCAAACACAAATTAGTTATTTATAAAGACTGTAGATGTAACTTTTCACAGTAATCCCTTGAAAAATAGCTCACCTAATGGGAGCAATGAACTCAATGATTCTGATCATCACTCAACTTCTCTGCTGAGCCCAAAGATACATCAGTGTATAACATGTAGACCATGTTCAGGTCAGCTAGTGCCAATAGGTTTACTCATTAGGCATTTCTCCCAGGTATGGCAATTTCTTCATTTTAATGTTTCTGGAAGATGATGTTTGCTTTGATCTCTTCCTTACCTTGTCCTGGAGCAGAAAGGCTTGGTACTGAAATGGCACCATCACTGGTGAAGGCCGAGTAGAGGTTATCACTGGAAGGAGATGGCTTAAGAGGTTGTAACAGTTGATTCTGCCCGGTCTCTGCGATGTTGCTAGGAGGATGAAGGGTCTGCTGGGGGTGCAAGACTGAAGCTGCACTCTGACCAGACAGGTTACCTGCCAAAAGACCAAATGGGCTGAGGACACATGTGAAGTTTCCTTGATGCACTAATAGGCAATGTTCTTATTCCTTTAATTTGTTCTACTGAGGATTAATCATGGGTCAAAATGCGTAAAGATTCCATTGTACATTTCTGTAAATCATTTTTTTTCCCTACTAGAAAAAAAAAAAAAAAAAAAGATGGCTCATTATACAAATCAATCCCCATACTACTTTCTTTTTAAAGTGGTATGGGGATTGAACCACCACTGATCTACATCCCTAGCCCTTTTTATTTTTATTAGATAGAGTCTCATTAAGTTGGCAAGTCTGGCCTTGACCTTGCAATTGTCCTGCCTCAGCCTCCTGAGGTGCTGCTGGGTTTATAGTATTCAGCCAAGCCACTGACTAATTGGCTCTGCTTAGACTTTTTTATAAATACACATCAAATCAGATACAAAGAGTTATCAAAAGGTGACTAAAGAGGAATGGATATTTCAAATTTTTCTTGGTAGGTGGCTTTAAGTTGCTAGGTCAATTCTATTCAAATCTGACTAACTTCTGCTTCCTAGTTACTGGGTGAGTAGAAATCCATTCAAAAAGTATGTTAAAATTGGGGTTAGAATCCAAATTAGCTAATCTCCCTTATAATATCTCTACCAATGGGTTGTATAAATTGGTCTTAATATGCTCAATAAAAGGTTTAGGCATCTATGAAGGCTTCCAGTGAATGGAAAGCTGCTAAGATATTTTCAGCGCTCTCCAATCTTAAATTAGACCTGGAGAGCAAATATGAAATAAACACTTATTTTAGCCTTTTATTTCCCCCCCAACTTTGTGGCTAATTACCTATTAACACTACATACTTTTCATTGAGGATAAAAACTCTCTATTCCAATTAAAGTAGACCATGATACATTATCACAGATTTTTATTTAAACACCTTTGTAATCACTGGTAAATTCTTTATCTCAATACAGACAAATGAAATAAAATGCTGCATCAAGGATGTTACTACTTAGACACACTCAAATATCTATGCCATTCACATTCATCCTACTTGCAATTATGCAACTCATCCGTTAAAAGGAAGATTCTACCTGAGGTTTAATAAATAGGGAAAAATACATTTGTTTCCAAATGCACAAAAGTTTGGTTAAATGTGAGTGTTGTGTTAACAGGCAAAGTTAAGTGTTTATCCTCAAGAACAACTATAAATGAAGACTATTAGTAGCAGCAACATTGCAATAGAAAAAGCCATTGTAGTCATCCAGACTACTTCTACAGATTTTTAAGAGATAATAAGTATAGGGAGTTAAGAAGTCAAGGAAGCAAGAATTGGCTTTTGCCAAACTCCTAGATCACATATTCAGCTGGACACAAAAACCAAAGATGATTGACTTGGTCCAGGTTTTTTTATTTTTACCTGAAAGCTGTGGGCTTTTATTTCCCAAGGAACTGCTGCGACTAGATTTACTGCCTTTGCTTTTAGTGGGTCTCCTTCTTCTCCCTGAAAGGGGAGCAGCTGGGGGAATAATGACAGCAGGGGGAACCTTGCCCAATTTGGTATACAAAGATTCAATTTCATGCTTCTGGCGACTCTGCAGGTCCTGAATCTCTTTAAGATGTCTACAAAAGATAATGAAACATAATTCAAAATATTATAACCATCTTCATTCAAAAAAGAATTAAATCGTATTTTAAAATTTGCAATTAAGTATTTATTTAGTTATGAACCCTTTCCCCAAAAGTACTACATCATGAGATTCTAGTTTGTCATTAACCTACCTTGTTAGTCTCCATTATCCAAGCCATATTCCCACAAGTTCCTAGCTATTATGGTTTGGATGTGAGGTGTCCCTCAAAAGCTCAACGTGTGAGACAATGCAAGAAGATTCAGAGGAAACAATGCAAGAACTGGGTTGCCAGAGTCTTAATCCAATCAGTGAATTAACACCCCCGCCCGCCAATGGGGATAAACTGAGCAGTAACTGAAGTGCTAGAGTATGGCTGGAGGAGGTGGGAAATGTTTGGGGTATATATTTGTATTTGGCAAGTGGAATCTCTCTCTCTACTTTCTGATCACCATGTGAGCTGTTTCCTTCTGCCACACACACTGCTATGATGATTAGTCTCACCTTGAGCCCTGAGGAATGGAGCCAGCTGTCCGTGGACTGATACCTCCAAACCATGAGGCCCCAAATAAACTTTTCCTTCCCTAAAATTTTTCTGGTCAGGTCTTTTAGTCACAGCAGTGAAAAAGCTCACAATAACACTAGCCAACCACAAATAGTTGATAAGGTGTTATGGAAAAAACATTTCCTGACTTCTGAGGCCATATGCAGGACAGGTGAATTTGCTATTCTGATCCAATTTGAGAAAAATAAAATTAACAAAACTTGTCAACATAATTATACTTCTCAATGCCATTACCAGGTTCATTTGGTAGATGAACAAACAGCCAGGAATGGTTAACAGTAATGAGAAGTGCTAATGACATAAAAAATGTAATGAAAAATATAACGAGAATAATTAGTTTTTAACATGGCCACCTCATATATATGTTGTCATTAAAGGGAAACATTATAACTTGAGCAAAGCTTGCCAAAGATTAAGGACTTGCTTTTGACCATACAGTGAGGATGCAATTAATCACTGTGTTGGGACAGAATTCCCCCAAATAATGAGGGGCACTTTCACTGTGATGGTTATTGACCATTATGCATGGGTAGAAATAAAAGGTCAACTATAATGACATAGTGTTCTTAAGTGATGAACTATAGTGACATAGTGTTCTTAAGTGATGGAGAAAAATGCCATCTTCATGGTTAATCTGGGACCTGCCATTGACATTATTTATATGTAGTAATCACTTTGAAGATATGTAAAAGTTTCCATTTATTTCAATTTCTTCTATTTAGGGACTAAATTATGTTAAGTCCTAGGATTTCAGAATACTAACTTGTTTAGTATTAGAAGAGAATACTGTTCCTGCTTGGGAGGAATTTTTGCATTCTAAGAAAAGCAAATGTAACACAAATAGAGTGGGGTAATGATAAAACTGAAGAGTATATATAATTCAGTGTAGGATAAAAGAAATAGTATTTGACTTTATTAGAGAATGAAAAAATATTTTTAGTAATAGATCTGAAAGGCATCTTGCAGGACAAATAGGAGTAGATACAGAAAATGAAAGAATTAAGTATTGTTTGGAGATGGGGATGGGACCGGCAAGAGTGATCTGGTAGGAATTCCAGGCAAAATAAATAATATAAATGAGGCCACATGGCCAGCATAGGGAACTTCAGAAAGTGCTCTCTAATGAATTGACTCAATTATAATTTGGTTAATATGTAATGGAGCAATTACAGTGAAAATATTAGATAATTACATATGGATAAACATTTAATAAAAATCTTTTCTAAAGGGTAAATTTAATACTTTTTTAACTTAGTAACTTTTTCTTCTTCCTGGCATTAAAAATAACATTTTAGACAAGAGACTTCTTGTCTATATTAATATCGCTGATTATTGATTCAGAAAACTCATTGTTTATAACCATTTAAGAAACACTGAAATTAGTCTCATGTCTAAAATGCTTCTTCAGAAATAAACACAAAAGCAGATGGTGAAATTCTTATTAATGAAAGTGAAAAATATAATGAAAATAATTAGTTTCAACATGGCCACCTCATATGTTGTCATTAAAGGGAAACATTTCCAATTACAATGACTTTGGCTATTTTCCTTAAGAAAAACTCATGGTTCTAGAAAAAGAATTCAAATGTGTCATGATAATTGAGTATTGTTTTTGTCGTTTGATTTTTTTTTTTAAAGTTTTCTATTTTGCTGTCCTCATTTTTATTATTCTAGGAAATTTTGAGATGTGAATAGTAAACTGTAATCAGTTGATGTGATCTTTGAGCTCTATAATTGGCCTTCAACAGTACTTTGTTATTTAAACAAAGTGGCTAATAAAATATGCATGATAAAAAAAATAACATTACAGTGATAATATAGAGGTGCTTAAGAAATCCCATAACTAGAAAAGTCTTAAATTCTGATGAGAAGACAGGGAATGAATTATATTGAAACAACTTGAACTTTTGCATATCACCTTCTCTGTAGAAGGAATACCACATTAGCATATTGTAGTGAAAGGACCATTAATCTTGCCACTGGGATCCACTGTCTTAATATAATATGTGCCATTAGTCACTCACAGGAGAAAATACACTTACTTTTCTCGTAGTCGTCGAAGCTCTAACTTTAAGTCTTCATCTTCAATGTCTGATTCATTGTCACTACTCATGTAAGAGGAATTGAATGAATTACTAAGGCTTTGACTTAGATTCTGAATGGGAAGACTCTTCGAACACAGCTGACGGGGTGAGTGTGGGCTACCTGAACCATCATCCACATCCCCCCTTAGAAAAGCAGCCTCCAGGTCAGAGGATGGCCCATTTAGATGTGAAGGCTCCGACAGTTCAGGCTTTTCTTTCTTTGGTATTACTGCAGGGAGAACAGCTTGTTCTGAATCCCTAAAAGGAGGAGATGTCACTGGTCCTTCTTTCTTTGCCTCAGCAATCTTGTCCTCAGTTCTTGATACAGAGAAACGACCCACTTTGTTTGCTGTAGTTGTCACCTGAAAACGTCCCACCTTGGTAGGTTGCCCAGTTTCTGACTTTGCTTCTGAGGCAGGAGTTTTAAGGGCACCATCTGGCACATCTGAGGAGATGCCATGGATTGTCATCCCATTAGGCTCTGGCTTCACCAGGGTACTCTCTGGACTACTACTTGATAGCACTGAGGACTCTGATGTGCTAGACTCAAAATGAACAGACTTTGCATCTTCTGTCTTATTTTTATCTTCTTTCTGGGTATCATCCATTGCAACTGAAACCTGATGGAAAAAGAACAGAGTATGATTGAAAATTGAAGTCCCAGACATTTAATTTCTAGCATGGACTGCTAAAAAAAAAAAAAAAAAGAAAGGAATCACTTTATTTTCTAGTCAATTAACAGACTGAATCTCTACATAGTCTATCCATCTTGGACTGCAAAAATAAATCAAATATCATTACAAAGAACAACACATCTGTACTGAGATGTAGATTCTGAGTGGCTAGAGTTCAAAGCCAGCCTCAGACAATTTAGTGAGACCTAAGTAACTTGGGAGACCTTGCTTCAAAATAAAAACCAAAAAGGACTAGGAAGGTGGCTTAGTGGTTAAATGCACCTGGGTTCAATCCCTGGTACCAAGAAAAAATAAATACCACTAAAAGGTACGAAAGGAGGATCCACATCCTTGTCCTGGTTTGTCCATGTTTTACAGATACAAACTCGGCCTAACTACAAACTCAAAGAACTTCAGTTTATAGCCAGGATCAGCGAGCGATGTTTGCCTATAACTCTAGCTACTTGTGAGACTGAAGCAGGAAGATCTCAAGTTTAAGGCCCACCTAGGTCACTTAAGCAGGACTCTGTCTCAAAATAAAGTAAAATGAAAAGGAGGTTGGGATGTAGCTCAAAGGCTGAGAGGTAGAACACTCCTGGGCTCAATCCCCAGTATGACCAGAAACAAAACAGACAAAAACCAAATCAAAACACCCCCCCCCAAGTCCCCAAAACAAAAACAACAACAACAACAACAACAAAAACAACCTCAGTTTACAAATGAGAAAAATCACCTACTATCCCCAACTCCAGGGGCTATCATAATTACTAATATGAAAGTAGTTCTGAAAACAGTTTAAAAAATTATTTGCAAAGCTTATTTAACTCTATGTACTAAGAGCCAGAAACTGCTCATTGGTTGGATCAGATGAGAAAATATGGTATCATTTGATGCTGACTCAGTATTTTCATTTACAGAGTTAAGTCTAAGAAAATTATTATAAATATAAAAAAAGTTTTTACACATAAAGATGTTCAGTTGGGCATGATGAAGACACCTGTAATCTTAGCAACCTGGGAGGCTGAGGCAGGAGGATCCCAAATTCGAGGTCAGCCTCAGCAACTTAGTGAGATCATGTTTCAAATTTAAAAAATAAAAAGGCTGGGCAACAGATCAGTGGTTCAATCTGGGTTCAATCCCCAGAATTGTAAAGGGGGAAAAATATGTTCACTTTTACTTTCCTTATTATGATGAAAAAATTAGAAATGACCAATAGAAGAATGGTTAGGTAAATGAATTACTATTTGAGGAAAGAAGAATTACACGATATTCGAAGAGAAGCAGCTGCCAGTTTTAGAAAAAACAAGTAATCTTGTGGGATGCGTTGGAAAGTTAGTATGATTATCTATTGTTTCTCTACTGTTCTAAGTATTTCATAGTTTCTTTAATTAGTATATATTACTTATATGACAGGAAGATGACAGTTATCAGGTACTATGAAAAAGAATTATATTAGGTAGGTAACAATTTTATTATATACACAACCACCCGAAAAAAGAGGGAATCAAGGCAAAGAAAATGATTTGTCATACCTGAAATCGTCCCATCTTAAAAACACCAGTTCCTGAACTAGTTGCTAGGACAGGGCCTTCTGTGCCTTGGGAAACTGAAACAAATACATAGAGGAGGAAGATAAATTATCACCCTCTTTTAAAAAGTTACCTTCTATTCCCTTTGGCTAAAAATCTACTTTAAAATGAAAACCAGTTTAAATTTATTTTCTCAATGCAACACTCAGGTAAAGTCCTATAAAACAGGATAGTATAGTTCTTAAGAATCATTCATAAGTAGTTTAAGCAACTTCAAAGCCACTCAGGTCCTTTTCCCCAGGGACAACTATTTGTTTTTATTCTGAATTTCAAAGGCATACTTCAGCATATATTTTCCTTATTTTATACAATTAGAATACTGATTGATGATTCCATGCAATTAGTGAGTATTTCATATCAATGCCTTGTTCTTTTTTTAAATATTTATTTTCTAATTATAGGTGGAAACAATCTTTATTTTATTTTTATGTGGTGCTGAGGATTGAACCCAGTGCTTCATGCATGCTAGGCGAGCACTCTATCTCTGAGCCACAACCCCAGCTCAGTGCCTCATTCTTTTTAATGAACACGGAGTTTTGAATTTTATTTCTGTAACATATATATATATATATATATATATATTTTTTTTTTTTTTTGTTGTTGTTGTTGTTTTGTTTTGTTTTTTCAGTGTGCCATATTTTAATCAGGCTTCTACCAATGAACATCTAAATTTTTCAGAAATTTGCTATTTTAAAAGTGCTATAATACATAATGTCTTATAGATATGTGGACTAAGGAATGGAACTATTAAATAATTTGCTTTTAAAACTTAGACATTACTAAATTGATCCCCAAAGGCTTTACCAACACACCAGTGGCTACTAAAACTCCTAAATTTACCAGTGAGAGGTGAGAAACGCTATCATTTGTAGTTTTACTTTCAATTTCTGTTATCATTGAGGAAGTTAAGTATTTTCATGTCTAAATTTATTTTTCTGTATCTTATATTTGTTGGGTCCATGCTGAATTTCAGGACCTGCCCCCTATAATACTGAAGATCAAACCCAGGGGTGCTTTACCATTGAGCTATTATGCCCCACTGGCCTTGAATTTGTGATCCTGACCTGCCTCAGCATCCTGAGTTGCTAGAATTACAAGTGTGCACCACTGTGCCTGGCCAGATTCTTTATGTTAGCAAAACTAGTCCCTTCTATGATAAAGATACACTCAGACATCCCACCACCACCACATATGTATTTCCCCAACTTTTCATTTATTTTTATACCCAATGGCATTTTTACTACATTCAACAAATTTGAAATTTATTACTGCTTGCTCTAGGTTGAATATTAAACTTAACACAATCCTCTCTATCAGGGATTAGAACAAACCATGATCAGTGTACCAAATTCAAGAGCACAATCAGACTCAATCATCTGCATTAGTCTATTGCTGCTTTGGGGCTTGACCAGGAAATCTGAATAAGATGCAACAAAGACTGCATCCTGTAAAGTCTAAAATATTACTATCTGGTAAAAAAGTTTGTTGACTCTGCTCTACACAGTTGGGGGAAAAAATTAAGGAAAATATTCCTCTCATGTATTCTTACGTAGTACTATTTTTATGATATCTTTCATCTTTGATCCATTTAAGTTTTTCCCAGATGGCTATTTAGTTGAAATATCCCATCTTCTTGAGGATTTAAAAGGTCACTTTCTTTACATTCTACATTCCCTTTTATTTGGTGGTAAATATAATTAATCAACTTTTATTGTATTTACTTATGGTATGTGTTTTGATAATTTACAGTTTCCTTTATTTTGTCTATTTCTAGCATTTCTAATGTATCATTGATTTTTAAGTTATTTCTTTTAAAATAAGTCAATTCAATATATAATTAGCTTGAATAAAAACAATATTTAAACTAGTTAATTTAATTATATTTAATTTCTGTGTGAAATGTTATTCTGGCTTTTCAAGCTGATCTTTCTCTCTATATGTCCAGTGTCACAAAAGCCAAGAAGTTAGTTGTAAATTCACTTTTATAAATGCCTCAATTTCCTAATCTTGCAAGGATCTTGCCTACCTAAGAACAAATGGTCTTATGCTAAGAAACTACCACTGCCCCATGTATAATAATCTTCTTGTTCCAATAACACCAACAAAGGCTCGTTAATCTGCTAATATCTCATGCTTTAAATATTAGTATCAATTCTCCTCAGTCATGGAAATACGTAAAAATGTTCCTTATAATAGTCTCAAATATACCCACATGCTAAAGACTGTGCCTTTGAAACAGTGACCTCTATTATCAATCATAGGCAGGACTGGGAGTAGTAATATGAAAGGAAGAAGGATGTTTCTCACCATCCTTCTGAGGCTGTGCTCCTGCTTCTGTAACTGCTGTTGGAGCCACCATGGACACAGGCTGCAAAACACATACACACACAGATACCACAAAATCTTTAGCTTTAATCAAGAATACTTTTGACCTGTTACCTTTTCTTTGGTCTTTGGAAAAGTGGAATATATTATATGGTGAAGAAACATTTATATCTAGGGGAATTTTCTTTTACAACCAAAAAAATTTTTTTTTGGAAATACGTAAGTATTTCTATAGAAAACTAGCTGTTTCCTTTTCTTTATTCAAATGGGGATCTCACTATGTTGCCTAGGTTGGGCTTGAATTCACAACTCTCCTGCCTCAGCCTCCCTAGTAGCTGGGATTACAGTCATGCTCCACCGAAAAATAGTTTTAGCCTACTACAAAGCATAAATGCAAAATCCATAGGCCTGATCTGAGATATACACTAGTTAGAGGTACATAAAAAGTATCAGTTACACTTTAATTTGATCTCTTTTTTGTTGTCTGGAACAAGCAGGGACTCTGAAAAGATGTTATATTAATAATTATTTAGGTTACATTTTGTGTTGCAGAAATATAATACATTCAGGTTAAGAGATTTTATATGGATGATACCTTTATTTATTTATTTACTTATTATTTTTATGTGGCACTGAGGATTGAACCCAGTGCCTCATACATACTACCACTGAGCCCCTCGGGTTATGAGATTTTATCAAGGGTTTAAACACTTACACTAACTGCAGATGTCACTGTAATAGTCTCTGGACTAAGCGTTCTTCTCAGCTGTGCATCAAGATCTTCTAGAGGTTGTTGTGACTGAGCAAAAACAGTTATGGTAGATATAAATTCTGTGGCACTTTCAGAGCTACTATATATAACCGATTTATACAAGACATTATTTTATGCTTTAGATTATAACATTTGTTTTCACTGGAAACAAAACCCCCAAAACCAAAATTCACATAATGCTATCAAGATTATGAAACTCTATCACTTATATGATATATACTTAAATCTTACAGATGGCAGCAAGGAAGTCTGGTTATTCTGTCCTCTTAATCATGCATTATGCTATGCACCTCTGGGGCACATTCTTTTTTTACCCAGTCACAGTCTCTACTTGGTACATCTATCTTGGTTTTTATCAATCTGTTCTTACATAAGCTTCATTTATGCGTCCACCTCTAAATGCAGGTACTATCTACTTACCCTTCCTTATCCTTTATATTTCTCACTATACTTAGCAATCAATGTTTATTTTTCTCTTCTTTTTAAAGACAAGGTCTGACTATATTGCTTGGGCTGGTAAAACTGGATTCAAGTGATCCTGCTGATAACAGATAGATACATGCCACCATGCATGGCTTTTGAACACATGTTTTTAATGAGAAACTGGTTTAAAATCATATCGGCATTAATATTGCACCTTTTTTTTTTTTCCCCAAAAATCTGGTGACTGTTGGAGTAGGTTCTCGGTTGAAGTTATTACTTTATTTTGGCAAGTTCTTTACATTATGTTCTACTGAAAATTAGAATTAAAGTAGGAGGGACAAATTCATAGTAGGCTTCTCAAGTAGCAATCTGTCATGTTTTTATTACATATAATTTCAAAATAAATTCCTAATTTACTTTCAAAGTTTACTAGCTTGTGCCATGTCAGAACCTTCTTCATGGTTATAATGGACTGATTCATATCAAGTGCTTCCCTTACGGGAAATTCAACTAAGTAGTTAGTAATGGGGTGAAATGGGAAAGGGAAACAATAATTTAAACATTACAGATGATTATGACTACTATCGTATACATTAACAGAACTGAGCGTGAGAAGGGAATCTCAAGTTCATGTGGCTGATCTCAAGTTTTTTTTTTTTTTTTAATCTTGTTTTTAGGTGGATAAAATACTCATTATATTTATTTATTTTTAAAGATTTTTTTTTAAAGTTGTAGATGGATACAATCTTTATTTATTTATTTTTATGTGGTGCTGAGGATTGAACCCAGTGCCTCATGTGTGTGAGGCAGGCATTCTACCACTGAGCTACAACCCCAGCCCTATATTTATTTATTTTTTATGTGGTGCTGAGGATCAAACCCAGTGCCTCCCACATGCTAGGCATGTGCTCTACCCCTGAGCTACAACCCTAGCCCCTCTATGAGCAATCTTATAAAACATGTTAATATCTTGTTGAGCTGTCAATTTTTATATTAAAAGTTACAGTACATATTTTCATGCAACATTACACCTATATGTAAGCCAATTATTTCTTTAGGTGGTCAATGAAAGAAATGATAAACACTGAAGATTTTTAAAACATTTTTAAAACTGGTTTTTAAAAATTAAACAAACAAACAAACACCTAACTGGTTAGACTCAGAAAAAGGATATTTTTTCTTTTTTAATGAAGAAATTTTCGTAGTTAAATTTTTAAAATACATATATAGATTTTAGTTGTAGATGGGACATAGTACCTTTATTTTACTTATTTATTTTTATGTGGTACCAAGGATCGAACCCAGTACCCCACACATGCTAGGTGAGCGCTCTACCACTGAGCTACAATCACCCCAGCCCCATAGTTAATTTTGATCACATAAAATTTTTTATTTCCACATTGGCTTAGAAACTACCCTTACATTTAAGATGCAATTTCGCTATTCTATGAAAGAATAAATGGGGGCTGGAGTTGTGGCTTAGTGATAGAGAGCTTGCCTGGCATGTGTGAGGCACTGGATCCCAGTGTCAGCACCACATGAAACTAAATAAATAAAATAAAGATATTATGTCCATCTACAACTAAAAATATTTAAAAAAAAACTGTGAATTAAAAAAAGAGTAATGTTTTCTGGCAAAACGTCAAACCTTGATATTTTCTTCCCACATGAAATATAAAAAAATATTAAATGTTTTCTAGGTGACTTGAAGCAAAATTCTAAACAAAATAATAATGAAGCTTAAGTGGGGCCTGGATCATTAGCTACATGGTTTTTATGTTTTTAAATATTTTCTCAGTTGTAGATGGATACAATACCTTTATTTTATTTATTCTTATGTGGTGCTGAGTATCGAACCCAGTGCCTCACACATGATAGGCACGTGCTCCACTACTGAGCTATAACCCCTGTGCAGCTACATGGTTTTTAAAAGAAAGGTGTTACTAAGTCAAAGCCAAGAAGGAACCAGAAGCCAAGGTCATGCAATGGTGAATTATTTAAACAAGCTTTGCGAAGAAGAAAAGTAGGAGCATAGAAAGAAATCTGCCAAATCTTGGGGCACCTGAGTTAGTGAAGGTCCAGGAAAAGGTGGCAGCTGCTCGCTAGGCATAGTACCAGCTGGAAGTTCAGTACCCACTGGCAGCACCTAAGACAATGAATGGAAATTCAAGTCCATGAGACACTAATAGTAAAGACTGCATGCTAAAGAGCAAACCAATTAATTTTAATACAGAAGCATAAAATAAAATGTATCTAGTTATCACCAAGGGTACACTCTTAATATCTGTCTTACATAAAGGACAATATAACAAAATAATAGAATTATAAGTGTTATTTTGAAATACCCTTGAAATGAAGTAAAATATAATAAAAGGTTGTTCCTTAGGGTAAATAAAGAGGACAAAGTCTATAGGTACATAAGAGACACAGACTCTTTGAGCTACTCATTTGATATAGAAAAACAAGACATTTGCTAAGAAAAACAAGACTTTTCTGAGAAAAAGGAAAATAAAAGCAAACAACTCAGAGGTTGACTTAAATAAAACCTAGAGGGAAGTCTGATAAGAAAAGGCATCAAAAATCTAATACTATCAAGTAATTTGTTTTATCTGATTAAAGACTCTGAACTGACAGTTCCTTACATATGATGGATGGTTTGACATGAATTTTTTTTTTGACTAACAATAGTACAAAAATTATATGCCTTTAGTAGAAACCGTACATTGAAATTTTTTTCTTTATCTTTTTGGTATTGACCATTGAACCCAGGGGTGCTTTACCACTGAGCTTCATCCCCAGAGCCATTTTCATTTTGAGACAAGGCCTTGCTAAATTACCCAGGCTGGCCTTGAACTTGTGATCCTCCTGTCTCAGCAGCCTGAGTTGCTGGGATTTCAGGTGCATGCCACTGCACCTGGAATTTTTTTTTTTTTTTTGCGGGGGGGATAGGGTCTCATTATGCTGACTAGTAGGCTGATCTTCAACCCTTGGGATCAAGTGATCCTCCCACTTTGGTTTCCTGAGTAGCTGGGACAACAGGCATTTGCCACCATGTGAATTTTGATCTATTCCCAGGCTACCAAAATAGGGGACGATACTCTCTTATGATGCTAAGCAGCAGTAGTGAGACACAGCTCTTTTAATCATGACATCACAAGGGTAAACAACCAATATTTTACAGTGTTTGTGTTCTAAGCTACAGTGTTTAGGTAGGTATATTAAATGCATTTTTGACTTTATATTTTCAATTTTAGGATGGGTTTATGGGTATGTAACCCTATTTTAAGTTTAGAAATATCTGTATTACCCCACTGCAAAGAGTTTCACAGCAATAGCAACGCAGAAAGATAGCTGAAGTATAGAATACAGTAGCCACAATATAGCCTTGTTATTTTTGAAAAAGATCAGCAATACTGAAGATGGGAAAATGAGAGGAAATCTGCCACAGAAGAATTAAAAAATACAGTTTAGTTATTTTATTCCTAGGATTAGACTAATTCCTCTTTTATCACTTTCAGTTTTTATGAACCTCAAATTGTATTTACATGGAAAGCAGAAAATTTCCTTTATTCTCAATTGAAACAAAGTGGCAAACTACTATTACTATGCATATTTTTTTGATAGATGCCTTTATTTCCCCTTTGGGAAATAGGAGAAATGTCTACATTTTACCTGATAATAATATACGTTTCAAAAAAGGGAAAAATCTTTGTGTTCATGTCCTAAAGTTGCTGTTAATTTGTTTAAGACTGAACGACCACTACATTTATAATCTTCAAGGCTTTGTAACTACATTATTAATTTGCAAGGCCAAGTTGAAAAATGCACGAATGTGATCTTATTTATCTAATAATAGTTTAACAAGAACCTTACCGGAGCCTTAATTAAAGGTGGCTTTGAGGGAGCAGTTCCAGGTTTCATTCCTGATGCAGTGCTCACTGGGGCTGAAACATAGCTGCCTGGGGTAGAAACTTGCCCAGGTGTGGCCACTGACATGACTGACAAACCAGCTGTTCCTAATGGCAAATTTGTTGGTGGTAAGCAAGTACTCGTAGTGGAAGTCATGAGTTTGCTTGGTGCAACAGCAGTGGTTGGGATGCCTGGTGTGATTGTGGTCTCTACTACTAGTGACGTCTCTAGTGAGACAGAGGCATGCTGAGCTCCAGAAGAGCTGTGTTCACTAAAGAGAGACCGCAGCTTTTCCTCCAGAGTCTTTATGTCATCAATTCCAGGAGCTTTGGGTTGGGTATCAGCATCTACTTCTGGACAGTGAGTGTGGGGTTGGTTAGGAAGCAAAGCTGGTTGAGGCTGACTATGAATGAGAGTCTGCTGTACAGCAGGCACATTGGCAACAGGTTGTACCAAGGGTGGGATACTGGGTACCTGGGGTAACAAAGGTGTAGAAGTAGGTCCTGCTGCTTGGGGAAAGACAGGAGTAGAAGCTACCACTGATGGGATGACTAAAGGATGCACTCCACCAGGCTGAGAAACAGAACTAGCCACTCCTACTCCAGGAGAGGAAGAGGAAGATGGTGCAGAGAGAGACAAAGCTAATCCAGTTGTACTGCTATAAGATGTTTTGTCCAGTGAGTGTGCACTAACCACCACTGTTTCAGCTAGAGTAGGGGCAGAGGTGCTGCTACTAAGCTGAAGGGATGGCTGTGAAGCTATGGTTGGGAATGGAGTGGAGGCAGAAACTGATGTTACTGTGGCTACCCCAGTAGTGCTTGCTGTATGCTGAGATAACACAGCTGGAGGCTTAGCACCTGGGGCAGCAGTACTGCCCACTGCAGAGGTTGAAGCTGTTGAAACTGTCATAGAAGGAAAAGCGCCTGTACTAGAAACAATGCTCCCAGATGTGGGGGCCTGTACTGGCTGGGATGTTGTGGACATTGAGACAACTGCAGGTATTGTGACACTTGAACCCACACTGGCAAGTACTGGTGACTCAGACACAGGTGGTACAGGAAGACAACTTGACATAACCACTCCTGTGCTGGTGGCAACTCCAGCAATCCCTTTTTCAGTGGGTACTGTAACCTCAGTCTGAATTACTGATGTGGAAATGTCATTAAGAGAGCCGCTTGATACAGGAACTGATACTGAAGGTGTGGCTGCTGCTGTGGTTGGGCCTCCGGCAATGCTACCCAAGAAAGGAGGAAATGTTGGTCCTGTGTGACTAAAGTTTGGAGGTGCTGTGTTGGGTCCTTCAGTCATTTGGGCATGTCTAAGTTCAGAAAAGGCCTGCTGGAGACTAAGGGATGAAGCAGAGTGAGACAAATTCATTCCAGGGCCCTGAGGTATAGAGGGAGCAACTGCAAAGGAAAACAAAAATACAGGTTATATTTATAGTCCTTTATATAAAAGGAAGGATTTAAACATTGTTCTAACAACCTATTTTTTGATCACCAACAATGCCATGTTATCAAAAAGGTTTAATATTTCTCCCAAGAAAATGACAAGTTCTAATACTGCAAAATTGACTAGCAGTTTGTTCAAATAGTCAGCTTATGTGAGTGAATATCTATTTCCAGAAAAGAAACATGGAGTACTCTGAAAACATACATAATTTCTAAAAACAACAAAAAAGAAACAAACACAATACAGAATTATACATAGGCTGCATCTAATATGGCTATCCTTTCTGGCTTTTTCTTTAATCCTATTATTTAAATAGTTCCCTACTCCTTATGTTTATCTGCTGTTTAAAACCTCTATTTTCTACTTGTTTTTATTATCTGTGTCATCATGAGCTACTGCTTGATGACCAAGCTTCCACCGTAGCAGAGATGCTATAGGATTTATGTTATTTAATATGTGGCAGAATCAATCCTCACCTGTGTCTGATATTTCACTGGTGAAAACTTTGGATTCTCGTAATCTACTTTCTGGCACAGGACTCACTATAAACCGTCTTCCAGCAGAATGAACAACTTGAGTTAAAGAACTGGTAGGAACACCTGAAAAAAAACAAACCACGTAATTGCATTTTTTGTTATATAACTCAACCGCATGAAACTTTAGTATTTCATTATTGGCACATACAACTTCTTAAGTTAAAGGCAGAAAACAAATGAGGAAAGAAGAAATTTACCGATTTGCTGTGGCATGGAAGATGTGGGAACTGGTTGTTTGAATTCTCCTTCCAATTTCTTAAAAAAACAAAACCAAACAAACTAAAAGTAAGTCCATTCTCAAATGTACTCTCAATTAGACAAAGCAAATCACCATGTGAAATGAACATGAATGCTTATTCTCAGTCACAATGTGATATCAGAAGGCATTATTTTGCATGGCGAATTTAGTACTACAGATGTATTTTATATAAGCAAAGCTTCACTATGTGATTGGTGAACCTACCTGAGAACCTGAAAAACCATAGTCATCCTTTCCCTGCAGACTTTCCATTCCCTGGTCACCCTCCGGTTCCACACTGACATCCTCACTAAGCATTTCATCAGCTTTTTCAATAATTTCCCGCACTTGATCCACAAATGACTCTCTCTCTATTGCTAGAATAAAGTCATTGTTTACCTGTAAAACAAATGATGTCCTTCTGATCAATATAACATTTCTGAAGCTTTAGGTCATTCAATTACCACAAGATTTTTATCCCATCTGCATATATAGTGTATTATTTATTTGGTATTTAAGTTAGCCCTTCCATCCTTTTTTCTTTTTGTGCTGCTAATGATCAAACCCAGTGATTCACATGTGCTGGGCAAGCGCTCTACCACTGAGCCAGTCCTCTTTTTTTTGGTCCCAGGGATTGAACCCAACTTAACCACATCCCCAGCCCTTTTTATTTCTATTTTTTAAAATTCTGAGACAGGGTCTTGCTAAGTTGCTGGGACTGGCTTTGAACTTGTGATCCTCCTGCCCCAGCTTCCTGAGTTGCTGGAATTATAGGCATGAGCCACCACATCAGGCTCCAGTCCCCTTTTTAATTTGTAGTTTTCTGCTACTTTACATTTCATTTCATTTTATTTTATGGTAGCATCTCACTAAATTGCCCAGGCTGGTCTCAACCTTGCAATTCTCCTGCCTTGGCCACAGTGCCTGGCAGCTCTTTCCTATTTAAGAACTTCAATACTTAATACTGAAATATGAATAATTACAGATTCTACACAAAAATATCACAATCACAGGTTAGGTGTGCTGGTTATATTCCAATGAAATACTGAATATAAAACATGAATTACAAATATTGGATAGTTGCCTAGGGTAATGGATATTTAGATGAAGTAATAGGGGAAAATTTGTAACTCCATATGCAGACATACCATAATTGTTGCTATCTCCTCGGGGTTGTCACCATCTAGGTCAAATTTGAATGTAACCATTTTCCGATTATGAGTCTCTAATTGACATTCTACTACCCGGTCTCCTTTGTTTGAAACCTGAAAAGAAAAGATACTTCATTTCTGAAGACTATACTTGGCTTTTTTACTGACACTGAGAAAAAGTCATTCAGACTAATGCTCATATTTATGTCTGAGGAAGCATGGTATTAATATTGTAACTTGAAGCACCAATACTTGAACTGGTAGAATACCTATAAGATGATGTCAGTCTTTGAGCTACTTGTTTATCTTCCACTACTGAGTCTGAAAGGAACATAAAGTCTTTTTCACTCTATTCTTTTCCCTAAGCCTTAAGAATTATTTCAATGATATTAGTTGCTGTCTCTATTACAGATTATTTATAAACTATACTTTCTGAAAAATGTGATAGTCAAAAAGAATTGTATGAATTAAATGAAAAAAAAAGGGCTATATAAATTATATATGGTGCAAAGATAAGGTATCTTTATTTTATGAAATGAATGGTTCTGATTTCAAAAACTATTCTCCGTGCTAAATTCCTTTAACAATATCAAAGCCACAAAGTCATTGATACCTACATTTAAAATTCTCAATTTTGGGCGTGAAGTCTTTTCATGACGAGAGCGACTTCTTACAGATTTTCGATAATGCCGTTTTGCTGTTCTCCCTTCATGCCTTCCACTGGATGATGGGGCATTCTCATTGCCATCACTCATACCTGAAGCAACATCTGAGTGCGCGCTTTGAAAAAGAAAAAGTTCCATTTTCAATATGAGATTTCAGGGTTTGATATTTTGATGTTTTATACTATCCTATCTACAAGTCAAAAGAGAATTATGATTTTACCTACCTGTCTATAGAGGACACCAAAGTGACAGGTTGGGTTGGTTGTGACTGTGCTACTGGAACTGGCTCTGGAGGAGCAACCTGAGAGACTCCCTGAGTACTCTGTGAATGGAAAGGATAATTCAAATCTTGGTGATAACATATTTATCATGATAAATGATCGCGATAAGATCCCTTTATTTCCTCTTATCCCTCCCCTATATCCTAGAAGCAGTAAATTTACTAGGAGTTCTTAATATTCAGCATCTACAGATAGTGATCTTAAAATTCCAAAGGAAGTTTCTAAAGCTAGTCTCTCATAAAGACTGCATGGTGTGAAGTCAGCCAACCTATTTGCTAGGCAATGTGAAACTACAACTTGCCATGCAGCCAGCATCTTACCAAAAGTATGCAATAGGGCAGGCAGAGCAAAGTGCAAAGATAAACTCAGACCTTTTTTTCCTAGTAGGGCAAAAATGATTGCTGAGAGCACAGTAGGATAAGATATTCTTATGACTGCCAATGGTATGAGTTTGTGAAAGGACAAGAATAATGGCTAAAGTACTAGCTAGAGAAGTGAAGTACTAATAGGGTTAATCTTCTCCAAGGCACACTCACTTCCCAACAGAACAGCCAGTGGCAACAAGGCCCCCACATTGGCATTTCATTCTGCTGTAAGAAAAAGTCATTCAGAAGTTAGTTTGACATGGTCTCCAAATGAGTTCTTAACCAGGGAAGCCTGTTTCTCCTTTGTCATTTTTATCCCATAGTATATATGTTTTATATATAAACATGCAATAATTCCATTTACCTCCAGAACTGCTTGCTGGGAGGATGTAGTGGGGGATTGTTGTGCTAAACTCACTGCTGGCTGGGACACTTGAACCTGTCCTCCTATACTGCCCACAGGAACCAAAATATTTGATTCCACATAAGGCTGCACCACTGTAGAAAAATAACCTGATGTAGCCAATGCTTCTGTAGGCAAGGGAGGGGATAGGACTGTAGAATGGATGCAAACAGAAGCCACGTTGGAAGAGGGAGTAATATTTGAATCTCCTGGGTATTGTGGTGGCAGTCGAGGTGGGAAGCCCTGTGATAGAAATGAGGAAGGTGAGTTAGTGCAGGTTGGGGCATCAAATTAGCAAATCAGCAAAACATGCAAAAAAAAAAAAAAAAAGGGGGGGGGATGGGGTGGGGTAGCAGGAAGCATACAGCAAAGAAGAGTAGCCCGTTCTCTTACTAACAATCTAAACATCATTCTTGAAATGAAATAGTATACTGGTTCCATTTTGGGAGCCAGCATTCTACATATCATATTTTAAATTGCTGGTTTTCCCCTGTTGGAGATTATTTAAATAGGAATTATAATAAACTTAATTCCTTCTAGAAATATATCTACTTTTTAGCAAATCTTACATGGAAGAATGCAAACTCCTCCTAGTATTAGCCATTCCAGTCATATATGGAATGTTCATCTTCTAAATCTAAACTCTGAAGTTTTTTTGTTGATACCATATTGCCAACTCTTATTCCATCTATATATACATATACATATATATACATACACATACAGCCTGGTGTGCTTACACTGAATATTTAACCATTTTTCTTCCAGGTTGTGTCTTAAAAAAAAAAAAAAAAGGGTAAGGAGGTCATCAAACATCATCACTCTACTTTTTCTTGGAATTTTACCCTTTTAGCTTCTCTAGTTAAGATCAGCAACCTTTGTAACTGTTCTTCTGATACTCAACTACTACATTTTTAGGTTTTTGATTGTCTTATTAAAATCAAACCCTCCAATGCTCTCCTCTTTTGCTAGCTAACACAGTACCTGGTATAGAACATCTCCAGAGGGAAGCGAAACCTCAGCAGCTTGTCCAAGGTTAGCTGGTATCCCCATGGACTGAACTGCTGGTTGTAGAAGCTGTGGGTGAACCTGACTTGGCAGCTGAGTCACAGGCTGCAGAAGGGTTGGAAGCTGACTAGGAATCACAGTTGATCCCCCTGGGATCGCAGCTGCTGTAGCAGATGAAGCCAAGGTGAGCAGAGGCTGATTAACGCCAGCTGCCATTGTAATGGGAAGGGATGAGAAACCTGTCTGAGCTGTAGATACATGAGGAGTTGATAGGGGAATTTGAGAGACAGGGTACTGTGGGAGTAAAGAAGTGGGGAGTGGCTGTCCCATAGGAAGGAAATGAGCACCAGAGTGGACTGGAACAACTGAGGATTGTGATGCAACTGGGATCTGAGATTCGCCTTGGATAGTTGATACTGGCTGGGAAACTGGAAGCTGAGAAAGTAAAGAAAAACAAAACAGACAAGACTTTTTTTTTTTTTTTAAGCAAGGCTGCTGAAAGCAAGATTTGTGTATTAGCCAAAAAGAGGGAAGCAAACAAACAAAACCCTGCATACATTAGTTTAAGTTAATATGCCACATTACAACAGGGAAAAAAGAATAGCAGGGATACAAAAAGGATAATAAACTGGTTACTGTTCCACATTTTCACTATAGAAAAATTTGGTAATGTTTCATCACTGACTATAAAAAATAAACCTTTCCATAGGCAAGGGTTTTGTTGTTTGTTTTTAATAGGTTTATTGGCAGATATTTTGCATACCATAATCCATTGGCATGTTTTCTGCCCCTAAATCTAGAATTGCTATTGAAGTAGCTAATGAAGTTTGAAACAAGTTTCTTCCCAGTGATTCAGACTGTATCCATATTATTTCTACAAAAGTCTGGCAGCTCTATAAAAATAGGTATAATTAATATATTTCACTGATTCTAGGACAAAATAACCCTTCTCTACTACCTGGTCATTTTAACATTTGAAAAATTTGGATATATCTTATAGCTGTTGATGTGTTGATGGTATGTACTCAGTGATTCATAAAATAATGGTGCATTTTATATAGATAGTATCTCGGATATGATGAAATATGACAGTAACAATACACTGTGCACATATAAGCAAAAGGGTACAAACAAAACCGTATCTATGATACAGGTGAAGAAAGGCCATTCAGAAGAGCATACCTTCTACAAGGTACTTTTCAAATGATTAGAAGGACATCTTAGAAAAAAAAAATGCATCATTTCATGTAAGGAGCTTTTATAACTTATTGTCAAAAGGCAATAAGGGAGAACATTTTTTACAAATCCACCTGAAAACAAAGCATAATTGCAAATACCAGATATACCTAGAATACCAGATATATCTGAATATTAGATATAGCTGACATATTTCTAGAGAATGGCACAGGTTCAGTTACCAGCATTTTTATTTAACCCATTAGGATTGTGTATGTGTGTGTGTGTATGTATATGTGTGTGTGTGTTAATGGGGACTGAATCCAGGGCCTTGCACATGTGAGGCAAACATTCCACCAATAAGCTAAATCCCCAGTGCTTTTTTTTTAAAAAAAATTTTATTTTGAGACAGTATCCTATCTGGCCTTGAACTTTGATCCTCCTGCCTCAGCCTCCTGAATAGCTGGGATTACAGGCATTCACTACCACACCAGCTACCCTTTAGGTTTTAACACTGGTAACTCTATACTGATAAACCTGTCACTGCTGTCTGTATATATATATATATCCATTTATGATGCATATGTGCAAAGAGAGCAAATTTTTACTCCATTATTGCACTGAGATTAACCAACTTCAATGGATATTTCACTATTATAAAGGATGGAAGTCTACCTATTTGAAAGGACAAGTTACATGTAGATCCTCTTTAGCATCTTTTCAGAAATTGAGAGTTTACCTGTTTTCCAGCTGACACTTGAGGCAAGACCTGTGGAGCTTGAGGTTGACTCACTGGCTGTGCAGTAGTGGCCTCAGTGGAGGCTGTTGTTTGTGGAAGTGAATACTGTACTGTCTGTTGAGGAGGGGCTGTCTGTTGTATTCCCTGCTGTTAGGAATAAAATATGATGATTCAGTTCTTTTTAGGGGGGAGGGAGGTTGGGGTCTTACTTTGTTGTCTGGGCCAGTCTGAAACTCCTGAAGTCATGTGCTCCCCCCATCTCAATCTCCCATGAGCTGGTAATGCAGTAGTGCACCACTGTGTCCAACTAATGATTCAATTTTATTTCAAATCATTGGAACATATCATGTTTCTAAGAGGTATATTAACTAAAGCCCTCAGTATCTGTTAATAATAATTTTAGTAATTAAAACATAATAACCAAATTCATCAATTTCTCTTACATGTTTTTCTTCTGATATTCTTTCTGATAGTATCATTAGGAAAAATTAACCAATATTCCAAACTTCAGAAACCATTGGTTGTTTACCCTACACCTCCCACACTCCAACAGTAGGTCTTTACAAAGATGTTTAGACACTATATCCAAATAGCTCTTTATCCCACCCCACATTTGCACCCCTTTTCTTTTGATATCAGCTCTCACTTAGGCTCCTTCAGTGGACTCATCTAGTCTCCTACTTTAATCTCTTTTAGTCTATTTTATGGATTATATAATCTGATTACGGTTGCAAAACAGTGAGAAAAGCATAGAGTTTTGAATGAGACAGTTTCAAATTTTAGTTTTACCATTTACTAGATATAATACCTCAAACTACTCATTTATTATAAATATGAAGTTTCCTTTTCTTGAAAACAATGCTATACCTCAATGTGGGGCAAAGGGAAATGACATCTGGGAATTAACCATATGCAAGGCCTGTACATGTAATTTTAGCCCAATACTAAATTTTATAATAAATCAAGCAAACAAAACAGAACTTAGCTCTAAAACTAGTGCCCCCCTTTGCCTAACAAAAATCTGAACTTTGCTGGTGGCACACACCTATGATCCAAGTAACTTGGGAGGCTGGGGAAATGGGATCATAAGTTCAAGTCCAGCCTGGGCGACACAGAAGACTCTGTATCAAAATAAACAATAAAAAGGACTGGGGATGTAGGATGTAGCGCAATGATAAAGCATTCAGAAGAGCTAAATCTGAGAACAAAAAATCTGAACTGTGTAACTTCCAAGGCTTTGTAGTAATAGTAAACATAACAAATTTAATTTTTTCTTTTAATATACAAATCCATACTGTTTATAAACAATAATCTGTTAATAATGAACATTTTGGTTGTTTCGATTTTTTATTTTTTGCTACTTGAAAATAATGTTGCAAACAACAGTTCTTTATTTGTCCTCATATATCCATACAAATAAATGGTTATTGCTCATAAGATAAAATATTAATTTGTGTATTTATTATGTATATGGCTACCTTACTGGTTTCTTGGATTTTGTTAGGTGATAATCTACAGTAGTTTTTTTTGTTCGTATTTTTATTCCTTGTTCCTTTTTAAAAAAATTTATTTATTTATTTTACAGTAGAATGCATTTTGACATTTAGTATATTCCTTACTTCTTTGAAATTACCAAATTATCACTAAACTACTGAAATAACAGCGGTAGCAGTCATGTTTGCTTTATTCCTCTCTATTTATTGGTACTAAAGATTGAACCCAGTAATGCTTATCACTGACCTATATATCCCCAGTCCTTTTTATTTTTTATTTTGGGACAGTGTCTTGCTTACTTGCTGAGGGTCTTGCTAAGTTGCCAAGACTGACCTCAAACTTGTGATCCTTCTACCTCAGCCTCCGGAGTCACTGGGATTCTAGGCATGAAACACCATGCTCTGCTGCTTTACTTCTATTATCCTTGTAGTGTATTCTTACTTTAACATTAAGAACAACCAGGAACAAATGGCTGTTAAATTATATAAAGCACCACATAAAAATAAATAACTAAAATAAAGATATTGTGTCTCCCTATAACTTAAAAAAAAAAAAAAAAAAGAAATGCTATGACTTTTTAATTTCCCTTTCAAAAACTTAGCAACTTGGGGCTGGAGTTTTGGCTCAGTGGTAGAGCACTTGCCTGGCATGTATGAGGCCTGGGTTTGATCCTCAGCACCACATATAAACAAAACAACAAACAACAAACGAACAAATAAGATCCACTGACAAAAAAAAAACAAAAAAAACAAAAAACACCTTAGCAAGTCACTCACATCAAGAATTCAAAACACAAAAGATGTACAACTATTTTGGTTACTACTAATTAATTAAATGTAGCAATACATTGTTCTTACCGGCTGAGGATGTTGGATGGGCTGGGAAGATGGAACCCCTGCTAAACTACTTGAAGATAGTTGGCCCTGGCTCTGACCCTGCGCCTGATGGAAAGAAGTAAATATGATAAATTATAGAAGGCCTAATGCAAGTGTATACAGATCAATCTTTTGCAATAAATTTAAGGTCCTGAGAAGTTTGCTTGATCAAAATGAAACAATACCTTGATTAAGTACGGGAGAGGTCTTTGGACTATCTTATAAGAAGTTTAGAAAAGGATCATATTATAGTTCATTTTTGATCCCATCCCATAGGAACAACATTGATGGTAAAAACCTATCTTGTTTAGGTTTTAATTCTGGCCAACTAGAATATTCAGATTCATAGTAAAATTATTACTAGAAACACACACACACACACACACACACACCAGGAAAAAGTGGTAAAACTATCAGTGTGAAACAATTTTTAATCTGAACATTTAAAGAAAATTAAAATCACTTGATAATTTTAATTAGGTTCTTCTGCTACTTCTTGCAGTGTGTCACAGTAACTTTTATGGAAAAATGTAAAAAAGCTCTTATAATCAGCTGCTAAGACCTATAATAACAGTCATCACCCAGGGAACATGTGGAGTATCTGGAATCATTTCTTGTTAAAACTGGGAGAGATGGCTATAGCCATCTAGTAAGTAGGGATGCTGCTAAATATTCTAAAATGCACAGAAAAACTGCCCTCAAAACAAAGAATTATCCAACCCAGAATGTTAATAGTGGTTCTCAGAAACCCTAACTAGAATGTTCCAATTATAGAGAAGTTAAAATTAAAATAAATGAGAAAGTGAGAAATAAAGACAGGACTATACTCATGGGTAGGTTAAGGAAATGAAAAGGCTACCACTTTTGTCTTTCATTTCAATTTAGAAGAAGTTCTCTGAAGGCTCTAGGAATATATCACATTCTACTGCAATTTACTGTTACAAGCATCATTTCTTTTGCAATATGTTTGTAAATTAATGATTTTACTTTTGAAAATTTACTATGGAAAGAATGGCTAATAATACATTAACATTTATAGTATAGTTTGACAACATGAGTACTGATGGGAATATACAACATGCCCAAGCAGTAAAGATTAAGTTTCTGGATCGTTCTGCTTCTTCCTACTCTAAGAAATTGATATTTCATATACATTTTCAGAGTTATTTATGTCTTTGATGGGGGAAGAATATAGGAATAAAAGAGAAAGAACATATAGTACTTAATGAAAAAGGGGAGTACTTAATAAAAAAGGGGAGTACTTAGGAGATTCAAATGATGCCTTAAATATATAAATGCATAGTCTCCTATGTAGATTTACAAAGCTATATAAATTTGATAATATATCAAAAGAATATATGAAATAGTTACTGACTCTACTTGCTTATTCTATATGCCTGTTGCTTTGTATTTATTTGTATGACAGGATATATGCCCATACAAAAGAATAACTAAATTAATTGAGGGGGGAAAAAAAGGGCCTAAGATGTCTAATCACAAATTTTTGAAAACAACAAAAATACACCCATCACCCACTAGATTCTTAGTTGCTAAAATTTATTTAATTTGCATATATAATACATAATGACTTATTTGATGCCATTTCAAAAAGGCATCTTTTGTTAAGTTGAATTCCTAAAAGGTTTCCTTTTGCTGTCTTTTTAGACTCTCCACACTAGTAGAAAGTCTATGGATTAATTCTTAACCCTACTCTAAAAAATATTTTCACTATATTCCATTTCTTTTTTTCATTTTACAGAAAAGTTACCCCTTTGCATTGTTTTCAAATTGTCTGAAGGAAGAAAGTAATACTTCATACTTTAGTATACCTATATAATCAATGCTGAGTCAACCTTACATTATAGACAACTGAATTTTCACTGTTATTTGGAAAATACCATATATAGGAATAAAAGTCTTTGATTTTGATGAGTGACTAAAATTCTAGTTTTTGGGTTCTCTTTTCCAAAGGTCTGCAAATAGTACAGGCAAATCAGGTAGCTTCCAGTTCATATTTTGTAAATGCAAGGAGTTTATAGCCCTCAAGAGATGGGGAGACTGTATTAGGAAAAGGAAAAACAAAAAACAATATTCTTCATAAATTCATGATTCAGGAAAACGAGGCATAGAAAATTTAAATGTAATGGTACATAACAGGGTACTTTAAAAGAATTGTGGAAGTTTTCCTATAACCTGTGGATGGAGTGAAGATCCTCCTGAAGAAAATGAGGCCGATAAGACCTGCTGAGATGTGGTTCCTTGGGGGAAACAGAAGAAAAGTGGGGATTCTTGTAACACTGTCTGAGGCAGATGGATAAAGGGTAATGAGACGTCAGAGCCAGAAGGTGCAGCTGTTCCCCCTGTAGGGGGAGGTGACTGAAAATCACTGGGATCTGAAGAAGTGATTTGTGAGGAATCACTGGAATACTCTGGGCTTCCTATTGGCCAGTTCTGTCCGATAGGCTCTACCACAGAAACAGTCAATTCTGGGGTATGATAATTACGCTGTTCTTCAGTCACAGGCTGTAGGTAGCCATGTAATCCAACTGACTGAGGAGGCGGTTCTTCCTGATTTGAGTCCACTGCAACCTGTCGATTTCGGTAAGTACGCTGAGGTAAAATTCCACCTCCTTCTCCTGAAGAACAGCTTGATGTTTGAGCATGAAATTCAAATACACAGTTGCTTCTGCTCTCATTGCTATGAGTTAACACAGCGGGTGCAGAATGAGGAACAAAGACAGGGTGAAATTTCAAACGTGTAGCATCTGTACTGATAGGTGCAGAAATACTAGAGAGGGGAGATCCTGGACTCAATCCAGAATCTAATCTTAAATTCTGAAGGTGTCCTACCAGGAAAGCCTGTCCAGATGGAAATTCAAAGACAGAACTTGATGTAGGGACCCCTTGTACTGGCTTCTGTTCAGGTATCTGTTTCATAGGACTTGAGAGTACTGGTGAGTTGTATGAAATGCCCTCATACTGTTCTGCCACCTGGGCCTGGTAATGTACCCCTGCTACATACACTGCTTCCTGAGGAATAAAATAGTGCGCTTCTTCTGGAAGTACTAGTCCAGGTCTATAGTCATTGCAAACTTGAGATGACTCAAACATAGGATGGACCTGTATGTCACACAGATCTCCAGTTACTCTACTGGCTGTAGTGCCCAACATAACTACAGCCTCTGGTGTCCAGTTAGTTGGGCTGCCACCAGGTGGAAGAAGATTTTGGCCAACAGTCCTCAGCAGGGGTTGGAAATGGCGAGTTTGGGATTCCAGGAAGGAGGTGCTCTTACGTCGCTGGGAAATGGCTACTTTCGGTGGACAGGTGGGAGGTGGTGAAAAAGAAACTGGACGTTCATGAATAGTTGGGAAAAATATCTGTGATTCTGGGTATGTTGGGGTACCCCCACACGGATGCGCCATGGACTGAGGCTGTATCAACATGAATAAGACAAGTAATTCATACATTCATATGTGAAATTACATCAGACATGCACAACTGGATAGTTCTGTGTAACCCTATGAAATGGTTACATCAAACATAATAAATAATACTGCTTTCAGAAACTATGTGCATAGTAAAAACCCATTAAATACATCCAGGGTCAAAGAAATCAACCTGTGGGACTCTTTGCATCAGATAAGAGCTGCTTTACCACAACTCTGCTCTCTCAAAGCGAAAAGAACAAATTAAACTTTCTAAGTGATTATTCTACTTTATTCATAGTATGTTCATTCTTAAAGACTTAAAAACTGTGTCAATGGAAACAGTTAAACAGTAAGTGCTAAAAGGCACTATTTTTATAGATATAAGAAGTATGCTTCAATTTAATCTATTGCATTAAAGTATTTCTATAGTCTATATTCTTATACTGTGCTATCTTAGAGGGTTCAATGCTACTTTTCATCAACTAACATACTTTTTTAACTATAAATCATAGAAAGATTTTTGGTGGATAATAAAATATGAACCCAATGACAGTAATGTCTTTCTCTTATCTGTCCCAATACAGTTAGCAATTCTGATACATGACCAATGTTACAGATGCAAAAAAAATCATCAAAATTTCCACTTTTCTCATGATTGATAAGAGCTGAATACGGTGCATTTTTTTATTTCGATGGCTAGTATTCAAGGTGAAATGGAAAATATAATTGATAGCCAAACTTGATTTAAAGCATTTTTTGTTCCCAGAAGCAGTTCTGTATTTAAAACTCTAAATTTAGAATCCTAACTTTCCCTAATAATACATACTAGTATGTAATAATACATACTAGAGTAATTCACTATCATAGATTCCTTTTATAAAAGAGCAACCTCATTCTTTCAATAGAGAAGACCCCATTTGCAAAGAAGCACAACTGTTCATAATAGCTGAGAGGATTTTTATTTTGAATCAGAATGTTCATTTTCTTGATGTTTATTAAGGTGTCCAAAGTCATAAAATTTGTTAACTTATGCATTCTCCAAAGTAAAAATCTGAAGATTCTCAGGTTACTAGTTCAGAATGTTAACTACATTCTCTGGAAAAGCAGCAGCAAGGTCCCACAGCAATTAAAATAATTTAAAAAGACAGATCTTGTAGAGACACTAGTGAAGCCAAAGAAAGGCATGTATACTACATATGTAATTTAACATTCAATGGTGTCAAGGTCCCACCCTAATCACCCTAAATAAGTACTCCCCTGAGGGAACAATTTTTAATCCTAGTTTACTGACATATCATTTCACTAATTTTTTACTCAGATTTCTTTTAACACATTAAAACCAAACACTTTTCTCCTCAATTATTCTTCACTGGGTTTGGTTAAAAAAAAAAAAAAAAAAAAAAAGACTTGTCCAGTTTCATTAGTAAGCAACTCTTAAGAATAAAATGAGAGAGCTGTGGTAGCTCAAGTGGTAGAGCACTTGCCTAGCATGTGTGAGGCACTAGGTTCAATCCTCAGCACCACATATAAATAAAATAAAGGTACTATGTCCACCTAAAACTAAAAAAAAATTTAAAAAAAGAAAGAAAGAATAAAGTGAGGAGAAAATGCAATTGGGTAACATTTAACAATTTACTTTTGTTTAAGTCAACAATTTAAAGTTAAATAACAAACATACCCTTTGTTATGATAAGAAAATGAAAATCTTTTATGTAAATGGGGGAGAAGAAAATACAATAAAAGCTAAATTTTATTGAGCATATATTGATATGTGCCAAGGATATTATTAGCCTTCTGTCTCATAGCTTCCTTGCTTGTTATTCCCCCTTAAAGCCTTATTACAAAAATGTTTCTTATGGGGATAACTAATGTCCTAAAATCCTAATACATAACCAAAAGTATAGTTTAGTCCTGTTATTTAATTTTTATTAAAATTTTTGATGCCTGGATGTATTCATTGGTAATAATTTTTCATTTGTCAGAAAGTTTACAGTTACATACAGTACTGACAAAGAGGGAAGGCAGGCTGGAGCGACGATGCTTGCGCTGAGAGGCAGAGTGCATAGGCAGGACACTCTCCAATGCTTTAGAAAGCTTTTCGGCAAAAGTTTCCTCAGGGGCAGTCCGAAGGAGGGAAGGAGAAAGAGGTGCAGACAACACTGGTGGTGGGGTGGAAGGAGCACTGGGAGAGATGCGGGATAAAAAGGGAACAGCAGAAAGATGGGGAACACAAACCGACATGCTACGGCCACGATGAGGCTAAACAGAAAACAAACACACATGAAAAACACAGTACTTTAAAAAGAAAATAACCAAATGTACAGTGATAACAGGCAAACAGTTAACATAAAGGAAATGTTCCATCCTCTCCAATTCCACAAAGTCAATTTTTTTTTTAGTGGAGAGAAAACTCCACAAAGCACACGGGGCAGATGACAACTATTCTCTATTGTGTTGGGTCAAGTACAAGATTTCTTAGAAATAATAATAGTAAGAAATTATTATCCTAAATATTATGAAATAACACCAACTGTTATGAATGTATGAATAAGAAAGATGGACTGAAGGCAGCAGACAGGGAAAACAATATCAGTTTATAATTTCTGCAAACTTAGTAAGATTAGACAAGAATGAATTCTATTAATTTAAAACACGAGATTTGAAAAAGTTGAAGTCTGGATTATTCTGCAGGAGCTGTGGAAACTTAAGAAAAGGATTCTCATTTCTGAAGGCATCAGACTAAAAAAGTTTTTGGCTTACAACATTATATTTATTTTACTTGTATACTTGCCAATCTTTCTCAGCAAAGGTAAAAAGTCATGTAACTAGAAAAAGTATACTTTTCAGGAGGAAATTCACAACTGGATGGACATAGGAACCATTTGAACTTTTACTAAAGTTGTTAATGAAAAAAAAATCTTCAATTTGAATTTCTAAAGAATAATGTAAAAATTCTCTTTGGGTATATCAGAGATTCAACTTAGGTTTACAAAGTTTGAGGCACCTTAACAGAAAAGGTTTAATATAGATAAAAAGCAATAAGTCTAACACCGTAAGGTTGTCTGGAGCAAGTTTGTTAATATTCTTTTAGATATTGTGAACTATATAACTAATTATATTTTCTTTTCCAAAACTGGCTGCTTTAAACCATATTTGTGGCCTACCAGTAGCAAGTATGTAAATATCATGATGATTATTTAGTTTCACTCCTGGTTCCATTTTTTTCCATCCTTATTTCTCTTTTTAATTATTAAAATTTCACTTTTAATTTACGCATTATTATATGCCAGGGTAAATTCTTTCTGGAAAGTGACAGGAAAAAAATTATAAAAATTTCTTAAAATTCCCAAATCCTTAATACATCATCATAATACTTTCATAGACTATTGTCATTCAAAAGCAAGAAGTAGTCTGCTTTTGGAAAAGCGAATAAAAGCATGTTAGTGTCTAAATGCTTAATATCATTACAAATGATTATTGCATTTCCTTGTCTAAAAGAGGCCAATGTTCAGAACTCTGTGATGAGAAAAGCCAAGAGACTGAAGTTTGTTTGTTTTAACTGAATTATGGTTCAGAAAAAAATCAATTAGAGCAAAAGTAGAAAATGATAAGAAATGCTGATAGTTAATATCGGCCAGAACACAGAAATATATCTTCTATGTAGCCTTAAAAGTTCTTCTACCCTAATTATTTTTTTTAAAAATGTTAAAAAATTAGTATATTAGTAGTTTTCTTTGCATTATTGTGGCCATTCATCTTCAGACCTAGCCAGAGGACTGATCAATGGACACTGAAACAAAGAAACATCTTTTATTCCAAGCTGCAGCATAAATGACCAGAGTAAACAGAAGTGTTTTCAAAGAAAGATTTTCAATTAACAAAGAGCAAGAATTTCACAAAGTTCAGATTAAAAGCTTTCTAAGAAGGGGGAAAAATCAGTCTGCTTAAAGATCTTGATAAATAAGTGCTATAAAATGACCAGTCACTCAATTCCTTTTTGAGGGAGATAAATGTATTTTGTTTTCCTCTCTGAAGACTTCACAGAGAGGCAACCAAAGAAATGGGGTATTATCTGATGAGCTATTTTAACATTCTCTACATGAAAAACAAGAGTGGATAATGGTGTGTATATATATACACACACACAAAGCATAAATTATTTTAGAAAATGCCTCTGTAAGTTGATCCTGAAAATAAATCAGTATAAAACAAGATACCAAATAAAGATAAAAGCAAATGAACATTGGGAAAGAAACTTGTGTTCAACACAGACTTTAAAGGCAGGAACACGCATAGCAACTGATAAGTAACTAAACACAAGCGCTAAATTAAATGGTAATATAAATAAAGGATTCCTTTACTCTAGAGTACTCACATGCAACATTCTATAATGATTTGAAATTCTTACCTGTTTTTATATAGTAAGAAATCTTATAGAAAATACTTTGTAGTTATTTTCATAAAGAAGCTTTTGAAAAACTCTCATCACCCACCCCCAAACCATCTGTATGTTTAGCTTATGCTGCTTTGAATAGCTTTAAGTCTTAAATGCTGAGAATATTGCCTTTTATCAAATGGAGACTAAATCTTATACATAGATGCTTCATGCAGGGAGTTTAACTAATTCTTACACATAAATGTATACATCTTACCCTGCTTCATCTACTCCAATTTCCTTTCAAAACAGTCATCCTTCAGTATCTATAGGGGATTGGTTCCAAGACCCACCAGTACAGAGACAAATTGCTTTTTTTAAAAAACATTTTAATAACTAAACCTACCAATTGAAACCCATGAAAATGGAGGGCTGACTAAAGACCATTTATGTTTTCTATTTTAGACAAGTTGCTATTTGGATAGTAAAGACTCAGAATTTAACAGATTCTCTACAGGCTTTCATTATAGTATTACTCTCTCTTATGCATTTACTTACCATACTCGAGGGTGGGTATACTCCATGGGTCTGAGACTGTGCTTGGGCAATGGAAGCTGTATGCCCTGGGACTGTGCCAGTAGAATGTGCCTGTTCATGTTGGGAACCATATGAAACTGTCTGTTGACTGCTCACTCGAGATTCTGTGAAGACGGAAGATCCTTGACCACTGTCAACTGTCCCATCAGCTGAAGGTGAGACATCACCAAAAAATAGACAGAAAGACAAATTATAAAAAGGAGGCTCAAATTTTTCCTATCACATTTTAGTCTCACCATATTACAATGAATTGGCTGTTTCTTTCCAGAAATCGTCACTAAATTAAAAATGAATAGCAGTCATAGTTTTATGTAAACTTCTGAATTCATGAGAGACCCATATGGAAGACAAGTTCTGATGTCTTTTATCTGAAGAGTAAGGGAAAATGGAACATTAACTAAACTTTCAGTCTTATATATGGAGACCTGTGGACTTTCAATCAATGATTACTGATCTCATTAGTTTTCAGTCTATATGCTATTTAACTTTCCTGAAAGCTCTAAACCAGAAGAACACAATTTTAAGTAGCTAAACTTGTTCATTCTTCATTACTTTAATTTAATTTTATTTTTTAAGGAACTGAGATATGGAAATCTAGAAATTGGAACCTCCAAGATAATGAAACTTTTAAAATTATTTTATACCCTAACCAATCTTCTCAATGTCCATCCTACTCCATTAGTCATAGTCATAAAAATAAAAAGAGAAGCTAAATGACAACTATCTTGAAGATAAAAAGTCAGGAGCTGGGAATATAGCTCAGTGGTAGAGCTTGCCTAACATGCATGAGGCCTTGGGTTTGATCTCCAACATGGGAGGGTTTGCTGCTGGGGTGGGGGTGGGGGTAGAGTCAATTAGGAGTATCATTAGCATATCTTGTGTGCTTTCCAAAATACTTACATAATACAGATATACTAGGTTGCTGGTACTGTAGTTGTTGATGTTGATCTGCCTCAGGCTCTTCAGGTTCTACTTGTGTAGATACTGAAGCTGAAGTGGCAGAAGCAGTAGTGCTAGCAGAAGGGACCTGCTTGATTCCTGTCTGAGAAGGAACACTTGATTGTTGTTCAGCCTGCTGTCTAAGACTGCTCTCCTCCTGTTTTCTCTTTTCTTGCTCTTCTCGAACCAACTGCCGCTGCTCTCGTTTTCTCTTAATTAATGACACTCTGTCTTTGATAGCTTTAGCCATGGTCTTATGATCACCTTCACAGACATACCCAGATTCTACCTGCAGGGAAAAAAAGGTGTTAGAGAAAAACAGGCTATCAAAAGAAAACAACCTCAAAATAAAATGAAATATGTGATGTAGAAAAGTGGATAAGAAGGAGAAGGAATTACAGTACTAGTCTTAAACAAACTGTGAAATGACTGATCTGCGGTATACATCCCCCACCATCATGGTACATACTCAAAGAATATGTACCATCTTTGTAGAAATTCACAGGTGGGTGTACTTACAATAATTAAAATAATGAGGAAAATAAATAAGTATGGTATCATTTCCATTCACTACTACCATTTCACATGTAATAATTATTAACCCGTGTTGCTATTACTTCCTTTCACCTGACAACCACTTATACAGATAAAACAAATGTGGCAAATATTTAAAGGTTTTCAAAAGACCAAAAAGCTCTTAAGTATCTCTTTCACACTGACTCCTTTTCTCAGAGGTAACTACTACTGAAAGATGCTAAAAACACTAGTAGAAAAATTTTATTGAGTTTCTTTACATGATAATTGCTGACATTAGGCAAAGCAGCAAGCCTCAATTGGTGAAGGGTTTCTACTTGGAAAAGTAGTCTTTTTGACATACTTCAAATAAGGATACAACCACAGGATACCTATTAACAATTGATCTTGAAAACTATTTTCATAACAAAAAGTGGTTTATAATCCTATGTCTATTTGTAAAGGTTTATCTAATGACTGATCCAATATTTAGAAACATAACTTTCATTCTACCTGAAGGATCTAGTCATTCAACTTTATAGACTTCAGAATATATTCTAGTTCATTCTTTCTTATCCATCTCTAATTTCCTCAAATAAAAACATCTTTTTAAAAAAGGACTATAAAGGTCAACACCCATTACCAGTAACAACACAAAAAGTACAAAGAAGGGATTTAAAGAAAAAAAAAAAAAATCACAGGAAAATCCTATTATTTCAAAGATAGCATTTGGGGCCAAGATAATTTTATGTTAATGAGATACGTCACATATGACACTCCATAAACTGCTTTATATAAATCTACATTAACTTTTAAATGGCCAATCAGCGCCAATTTACCATTTCTTGAGCAACATCTTCTGGTACATCTCTCTCCAAGTCAAAGGAAAACTCGATAGCTTCATTGTCTTTGTACTTGCCCTTTAATTTCTTAATATCCTCAATACGCAGCCATAATTTAATAGCTATTTTTTCTCCATCATCTTCTTCTGCTAATTCTACCCGTACCCCTGTTTCCTCCTGGAAGAAGGCATGGTTCAAGAGGTCTTTGATGGAATATCTTCCAAAGAAAAAAGAAAGAAAGAAAACAAAAACAAAATGTCATTAATTTTTAAAAAAAATTTTCAAATGTGGCTGATTATTGTTGTTTATAAGAAAAAAACTGAATAGAAAACCAAGGTTAATAACGCATTTCTTCATTAGTCTATTTGAATGGTGATTACAGATTTGTACTCTTAAATGATAAGACATCATAACACTCTGATTTATAAACAAAAGAACTGAGAGTGATCATTTTAAAATCAAATTATCTAACCCCTTTGGTTACAGTGTACTGGCAATGGCAAATAATGCACAGAATATCAAAGATTCAAAATATCAATAACAATATATATAGTATTTTATAAGTAATAAAAAATCCTTTGTAGAACCTTGCCCAATATCCAATAAGAGATTATCTCCTGACAATTAGGAATGAAGGCTCAGAAGTTGAGAATCTTGCTCACAGTTCTAGAAGTTGTAAATGATATAATCAAAACCAGAATAAATTCTCTGATTTCTAGTTTGGTACCTTTGACTATAGCAACTTTTTACCTATTCAACAAATTCTTTCAATTTCTTGTTCAATAATTTGTGGACTAGGCAAGCAAGAAAGCTGATTGTGAAACAATTTTCTTTAGATAAAATGGTTTCCAAATACCAGTAATCCAATAAACTAGTCCATTCAGAAAAGACATAGAGTAATATGTTTTAAGATGCAAAACAAATATTTCTTTGTTTATATTGAAAAGGTCTTAAAAGAGATTTTAGGACTCAGTGAATATGAAAACAGAAACTTAAATTAAATATCTATTAAAATGTATTAGAGATCATGTTAAATTCTTTCAAATAACAAAGTTATAAAAAAGAAAATAAGACTAGAAAAGTAAAGATATGGAATTCTTTAATTTGGTTGATTTACCGGATTGCTCCCATTCTTCAGGAGGTAGATTATGTTCAATTTACAACTGATATTTGTCTTAGGCTGGCATACTTTTTTGGCAGGTATGGAGAGACGAGGAAGGTAGATCAGTTTTCAAAAACAGATATTGGACCCTTGTCAATGCCTACTGGGTGATGAATCAGCTACATGGGAGATCAGATACTTGCCACTCCTCTGAGAAAAGTCCCATGTTAGTACAAATGACTAAGGTAGATGTTCTCCTAAGCCTTTAGTAAAGTCTTCTCTTTTTACTCAAAGGAATTCTCATGTTTTGCTCTTCTTTAATTCTGGCACAATACCAAGAAATCAAGCACTGCATAGTTGAGTTGATTTTAAAGTGCCAAGTCTTTGTTCTATATTGTTTAGAATTCAATGGATAAAGGACTAAGGAACAGATTTGCTGCATTAGTACAGTATAGTTATTTGCTATAAGTGACTCTAACAGAATGTTTAAACTATGTTTAAGGTGATTCTGATTTACTTAAAAACTCCACTAAACCTTTGTTTGTTTTTGGCAACATTGGGGACTTAACCCAGGAACTTGCTCATGCTAGGCAAGCGCTTCACCTCCAGCCCCTTTAAATTTTATTTTGAGACAGGATTTCACTAAGTTGCCCTGGCCTGGAACTTGTGATCCTGCCTCAGCCTCTGGATTTGGTGGGATTACAGGTCTGTGCCACTAAGCCTGGCTTGTATTTGTAAACTGTTCTAGCATATTGAATTTGAATAGCTTAAATAGAAAGAACCCTATCTTAAAAATTAAAAAGGGTTATATGGCATAAATGGAAAAACTAAGAATTAAATACACTTCAGATTAAGTTTTATACTCAGAACATTATGTTTTAGTTGTCTGTTTAAGCAACACCTAATCTTACCGTTCATCTTTGTTTTGCCGTATACATCCTTCGATGATTTCCTTCACTTCAGGAATTGCTACTTTGTCAAAACTGGCTGGCTTCACTCCCTGAAAACCATACAAATTGCCATAGAAACACATTAATGACAGCAGGGTCTTTGAATTTTGTTTTAAAATTTCCACTTGAATTCTACTAGGTTGCCCTCTTACCATCCTGGCTTTTTTTCTGATTTGCCTACAGGAAAAAAGGTGGGCAATTTAGCTACTCAGAAGAAAACAACAAGAAAGTTTTGAGAGTGCATTTACTTACTTTTTATGTGGCAATGAAAGAATTTAGGCTAGAATAGCATCTTTTTCTTTGGGTAAAGGAAATTACTATCTAAAAAGAAAGCTAAGTGTTCCAACTGGTTAGATGTTTTGTTCAATCTTGCAGGCTAACACAACTCTATACAGCATTTAATTGTTTTGAACACTGAACATGCATTTGTATATGATTTCACAGTCTTGGCAGGTATTATATTATTATAGTACTCTTTTTAAAAACAACTAGTTTAGAAGGAGTTATGGTTTGTCTTGGTTTGACATAAGTAAAGAGCAAACTGTCTTGCATAAGTTAAATATAAAGTTGAAAAGTAATATATCTGATCCACAAGAAAGATAAGCATTGTAATTAGTTTTAGAAGAAACTCACTACTACTCTTCTATGTAAATATTATAATGAGTAGTATCATAATAATAGTTTAGAACTTTCCTAAAGTATAAGTTCTTTGAAAATAAAGCTTTCAGCGTTGTATGGAAGATACATCTAAGATACTAAGAACAAAAGACTACTCTCTGAGCAATGGGGTGAAGGGGGAAAAATATCTCATTATTTGCTCCCATTTCATCCTAGCAACTACATAAATCATGAGTTAAAGTAGCTACACGAAACAGTGCTGTAAGTCTATAAATACATAGATAACTTAAGTGGGAGTGTTTAGAAAAGCTTACTGAATATGCATAAATTCTAATCATCTGTATAATTTCAGGGACAAACATAGTATAACAAAATTAGTGATGATCTAATAAATCACAGAAATACACATAATTGCTCAATCTATATGAAATACAACTGTATCTCTTTTCCATGGCTTTGTCTTTTCACTTTGATACATAAAATCCACTACAATCTGAAAATACTATCTTGATCTTTTGAGAGACCACATTCATTTAACTTTTATTAGAGCATAGTTAAATTGTTCTATTTATTAGTTTTTATATCTTTTGCTTGCCTAATTTATTAAACTTTATCATAGGTATGTATGAAAAAGCGTGAGTATATATAGGGTTCTATGCTATGAGCAGTTTAAGGCATCCACTGGAACCATACACCAAATGGTTAGTGCTGAAGTCCTTAAATACCAAAGTTGTGTAATTCTCATCAATAATCCACTGTTATCCCAAAGTCCTGATTTGAAGAATTTTACCTCTAGGGCTAACTTTTCACACCAAGGAACTGTAGTAGAGCTGATCATAAAAGTTAGTTAAATTCATGTATCTAAAAAGTCTGGTTCTGAGATTGACTACAAAGATCACTATTTGCATTTTCTTCAATTTTATTTCCAAATTCAGCTCTTAAGTTTTTCCAAATTGTACATGTTGTAGCATAATTCTAAGGAAAACAAAAAAGTATGCTCCTGAAGTTAAAGGCTGCTTTAATAAACCAAACCTGGTATTTCAAACTTATTAACTTTCCTTCTTAGGAAAGGTCCATCTAAAAGTTCTTTGGTAGCAGGGGTGGGGTGGGGGTGGGGGGTGGTATTTTGTTTTCATGTTTTTTAATGTTTTTTTTTTCTACAATAAACTTTAAAAATGTCATTTATGAGAATAATGATAAGAGCCATTTAAATGCTGTATATATATATATTTTTTAAAATTCAAACCTTTATTTCACTTATTTATTTTTATGTGGTGCTGAGGATCGAATCCAGGGTCTTACATGTGCAAGGTGAGCGCTTTACCGCTGAGCCACAACCCCAGTCCTAAAATGCTGTATCTTGTTTGTAGAACACTTACTATTGAAAAAATATATATATCTAAAAGACAGTTTGGTAAAATAGATTGGACTGTCGCACATAGTTCAACTTTGCATGTAAAGAGTTTAAAAAGTGGATTAAGAAAATATAGACTCTGATGAGGAAACGTCTTCCATTCGTCCATAAGCACATACATTTCAGGGGAATGTATTTGGCCTACCAACAATAAAATTCAACATATTAATTTAATAAGGCAAACTTATACCAATTCTTCTGTTTCATTCTAGCACAGGCAGGTCGGAAAGACAAAATAAATTAACAACAGAAGACTTTAGTATGAAATGAACATGCAGAAATAGTCCTGAAAATGGCCACACTATCTGCCCACCATACCTATCTAAATTAACAGAAGCAGGAACCCAAAGTCATATGTAGGTTGAAAGTTCTTTGAATTATTAAATTTGCTGACCCAATGCCACCTTTGAGTTTAAAGGCAAATATTAAGATTGCTTATTGCAACCCACTTAAGATACTGAAAAATCTAACAAAAAATTTTACCAGTCAGCTACCACCAAGAAACCAGGATTATAAGTAACCTAGAAGAGGTTTGTTGAATAATTTTATAAGCAAGAGTTTATAAATTGCATATTAAAAGATGTTCAAGAAAAATGTATAGAATGAATACTACACTTCACTGACCCCGAAGTGAACTATACAAAATAAAACAGAAAGATGAAAATACAGATACAATACAGGGGCTGGGGTTGTGGATCAGTGACAGAGTGCTCACCTAGCACACGTAAGGCACTGGGTTCAAACCTCAGCACCACATAAAAATAAAGATATTAGGTCCACCTACAACTAAAAAATAAACTAAAAAATAAATATTAAAAAATGATACAATAACATTTTTTGTATAATCATCATACTTTTTCTGAAGAAAGGAGAACTTCATGTATTTTTAATAACTGATGATTTTTTAAAAAGTTGATTTAGTTTTTTAATTTAGGTATTAGTGATTGAAACCAAGGGCACTTTACCACTAAGCTACATCCCTAGTTCTTTTTATTTATGGACACAGGGTTTTGCTAAATTGCCCAATTTATGATCCTTTTGCCTTAGCCTTTTGAATTGCTAGAACTATAGGAGTGCATCACCATGCCAGGTTTGTTGATTTTATTCTAAAACATGAAAAAGCACTGGAAAGAACAAACCAATAAAAACAAAATATTTTTATGATAAAATTTTCATTTTACTTCCTTTTACTTTATGTACTTCAACAAAGATAAGTTTAAATCCCCACAATCCTCCAAATCCCCCTTTTAACTTCCCAATTTATCCCAATTCAGACCTGTTCTAACCAGTAAAACCAAACTATCACCCACCTATTCTGAATGAGACTAGAAAACACAAACTGGAAAGAATACTAAGGTACATAAATTGGGCTAATCTTATACAGAATAAAACTACTAAACTTTACTAGGAACACATTCTAATTCAGCAACTCTCTGGCCCTACATGTACTCTTGTCTTACTTTTGAAATCTAAACAGGATCTCTCTTTAGGCAGCAATGTCTTTTGTTTGGGGGGATGGGGTACAGGGAACAGGGTCAGTAGCTTATCTCTCTTCATTAAATAAGTATGTATTGAATATCTAATGCATACACACTTGAGATATTTTCAGTGACATAAAATTATTTACTCTTTAAATAAAAAGAAGGTAATTTCTGCATATTAAATGGAGTACTAAAATAATGAACAACTGTGACCCCCATCAAGGGTACATAAAGAATTGATATAAGATAAATGTTATCAAAAGCTTAAGTTTCAAATATGTTATATAACATTTAGTATCTCTTGATTAAAGTAAAACTTTTCCTAACCATTCAAAGAACATTAAGTATTTTTAAAAGTATTCTGAAGTTAACAATTTCAGTATTCTAACTAAAACTTTCTACACATATCAAAGAGACCACAATATGCCCTTTATATAGTTTGGAAATTCTTACCCACCTCACTTACACAATCCTTTTGAGGGCAGCAGCAGCAATGAGAATTTACGATGACAAATACTGAGAAAAAGTCTTTCTTTGTAAAATCCATCAGAAAAGGCAAAACAGACTTGTTACAGTTAGAGAAAAATGAGGGGGAAATGGATAAGATGTAACTTAACAGTCACTTAGCCCACAGCATAAGGAGGGCAAACGGCAAAGTCAAACTGAAGCATAGTTTCTTGTTTAACAGCCATGTTTCCCCAACTCTCAGACATGAGTTCGCTCTGCTCAGTCAACAATTTATTTATTTAGATTGGCCTTGTAGACAAAAACTACATGCTGAATGGCAGGAAAACTATTCTGCTACTGTTGCTTCTGCTTCTCCTCCAACAGCAACAGATTCCTGAGCAAGCAAAATGAGACTTTTATTTGCTCAGAGCTCCACCTACTACATTCACAGGTTCTGCCTCCTTGACAGAGCTTTTTCTTGGAGGCTTACCTGTATATATACTATAAATCCACTTTGAAAGTATGCTTTCTTTTTTTTAAATAAAAGGAGGATTAAATTCAATGAATAAAGTGTAAATTCAGAATATGTAGCCACAAGAACACTAGACAAAGAATCACAATACTGAGGTTGAGTTCTTTGTCCTATCACATGACCTAGATTATATCTCTTACACTCACTTAAAAAGTAGGGATAACAGACCCTCTGTTTAACTAATTTAAAAAGTGGTGATATCAGTTAGGTGCAGTGGCACACACCTGAAGGAGGCTGAAGCAGGACTGCAAGTTTGAGGCCAACCCTGGCAACTTAATGAGACTCTGTCTCAAAATAAAAAACAAAAGAGCTGGAGACATAGCTCAGTGGTAAAGCACCCCTGGGTTTGATTCCCAGTACTGGGCGGTGGGAGTGAAGATATTGAACTGCTTTACCTCCATCTCATGGAACAACAACAACAACAACCAAAAGCAGTTATTAGTAAACCAAAGTGGCAAGAAATTTTTCTATTTCCTTTCTCTTCTACTAAAGGCTTCAATAAGCATAAAAACATTTTCATTTGCCAGGAAGATCTCATAGACCCATATAAAAACTACA